GACAAGTAGTCATTGCGTTTCACACATTATCTACATGAAACTTTCTTTAAAACATGTTTTTTTCTAAAAAAGAGGATTAAATTGTATTGTACATTTTTTTTTTTTTTTTTTATAGTTGGGAAATCCTATTACGGATACCACCCGACTTCCCCCGGGGTGGTTATGAGGAGACTCTCCGGCTAATGAGACCGGCATACCCACTAAAACCCAACTTTCCCCCTCTGCCGCCATGTGGGGCGCCACGGGATCGCTCTCGCATACAACCGGGACGCCCCGACGGTTGGCCGACGCCACCAACCATGAGGCCGCCCCAAGCGGGACAACCCCATTATGGGAAGACTTACAACCCAAAAAGTGAGGCCGCTCCTAAGTCCACTCTGCTGATCAGAGAAGAACCCGGAGCAGCCCCACACCACACAAACACCGCCCACCGAAGTGGGCCACCTCCAATCGGCTGCAGAGGACAGGGAGAGCGGCAACGAAACACCGACACTCCTCTTCCCCTGCAGCCCCACCGCGTCCGCCATCAAACGGTGGCGGCCCCGTCTAGGCCGCGGAAGGTAGGGAGAACGGCGCACCGAAATACCGGCACTCCTCTCCCGCCGCGGCCTACCCCTCCGCCGAATGCGGGCCTGCGACCACAGTCCCGCAATCGGCACCCATCATCCGGTTGTGGGACCAAGCGGTCCCACCACCGGTGGCCGCAACATCTTCGGCTCGAGGCCTAGACGAGCGGCCCCATCCAAGCCATTTGGTCCGCGCCGGATTTCTCCGGTACCACCCGCCCCTCTAAGCGGGTGGCATGCCCCTATCCGCCACCTGGGGACGCGCCCGGTAGGAGTTGGCTTCTCCCCCGGGAAATTGTATTGTACATAATCAATTGACTTCTCATAATAATATTTTTTAACTTATGCGCACGTTTGAATTACAACCATAAGAGAAATTTACTAAGTTTTGTATGAGATACAGTAATAAAATAAGCTTTTTCAGACTGAAAAAGTGTTAACAAAATAAATTAAATATAAAAATGAGAGCTTACAATTACTCTAACAAAATGTTCTACTTTTAACGCCAATTGCTTCAGAACCAAGATATATTACCAGAAGTTTTCTCTACAGAATTAATAAATAACAATTAAAGCAAACTAGAACAACGTAAAGAAGAAATAACTGTTGTTGAAAAGTAAAAAATTGAAACTTTGAATTTTATACCTTTATAATATAAAACATTAATGAAGAATAATGTTTGTTCGTATTTCAGCTATAATTATATTGATATTACTACAGTCTACTAGTTATAATTTTGACGGTCTATAATATATTTTTAACATATTTTAGGGATGCAGTGCCACCTAATTTTAAATTGCTGAAAATTTTAAACCTAGTGCCGCCATCTATTAGGAGTTATGTGAAACGGAATGAAACTAGGAAAATGCTTACATTATTATGAGTTTGATAATATGTAGCGACATCTGTGATGGAAATTTAAAACGAAAAGCTTAAAAGTTTTCAACAGATAAGTAATATTGTAAATACGAAAAGGTTCATTTAAAAATATCTAGATGCTGTTATCCAACAATATTTATTTAATTCCATCTTACTATATTACACAAATAGAAAATGTCATGAATATTTTATCTCCTATTTTTATTAATAGTTTTCATATAATAAATAACTAAATTTTTAGATGCTATTTTTATATTTAGCTATTTTAAATCATTTGCAATTTTTTTCCATTTGTTAAGTACTTATTGTGGATACGAGCTTATTTTACCTGTAAGTACTAAGGGCAAAAGTTAAGTTGTTAAAGTTTAGTTAAGTAGTTAATTAATGAAAAAATAGTATTTAAAGAAAAAAAAACGTATTTTTTATTAAGTACTAGCATTGCCCGCGGCTCTGCCCGCGTGCAGATGACCAAAAACCAAATACTTAGGTTTTACTTATTAGTATAACTCTTACATTACAGTTTTTGTATTTTTCTCAGAAATGAGATATTTTCCCGCGGTAAAAAGTATCCTTTAAGTTGGCCCGGATAACCAGCTATCACCATACCAAATTTCATCAAAATCCCTTCAGTGGTTTTTCTGTGATGCGGTAACAGAGAGACAGACAGACAAAAATTCTAAAAACTATAGATTTGGCCTCTGTATCGATAATAATGACTATTTCAATTAGATTTTCCAAAAAATATTTAATGTACAGATTCGACTTAGTTAGAATTTTATTATATGTAGGTATAGATTTAACTAGCGACTAAGGCCTAACAATGACTAAAAAAGTAATTAAACTGCCATTTTTCCGACTTCAATTAAATGAATTATCATTTATGACAGTAAACACATTTTAACGGCTTAAAAAATAGGCGATAATAATATAGATTTCAAATTTAGTAAAAGAATTTTCAGAATCGAATAAATTGTTTCAGATATTACCCCTACGTAGAAGGTTTACCTCTCGATAATATTAATACGAGTACCTATATATGTTACAGCGAAAGTAATAAATCCGGATATAATGTATACTATCCAGCCATTATATATAATATTTACTCAATTAAACAAAGTAATAATTGACACAGAATTAATCACATTAACTAGCTATTTACCCGACTGCGCGACGCGAAGGAGGGTAATGTGTTTATCAGTCTATGTATGTATGTTTGTTCCTATATGGCATTCTAGAGGTCATACGAGTAGGCTGATTTTGATGATTCATACGTCGTTAGATATGTCTTGATAACGTGAGTAGCTACATAAAAATAGTTAAAAATTAAAATGGCGGATTTCAGGCGCCAATTTGTGTGTCTCTAAAAAAAATCTTCCAAACCAATCGAGTGGGCTATCAAAATAAAGGTTTTTAAGAGGCGATCACAAAATATACACGACTTATATGTTTAAAAGTAATTTAGGTTAAAATTTGCTACATAAATAACTTAAAATGTCTAATTGGCAATACTAAAAAGCTGTAAATATAAAGATATATTTAAAGCATTTTATTTTTATAATATATTATTTTTAATTTTAAGGTAATAATACTGTACGTAATGTATGGTAAATGCTTGGTTAATATTATAGACGCTATTAAAGATTAAAGAATAAGTTTTTATAATTTCATTCATTTTATTAAAATATAAGCGACTCACCCTCGCTTCCCTCGGGCTCCTCCCTAGGTACATTTTAACGATTTTCTTTTAAGTATAAATTACAAACATACATACATACATACACACACACATAGGTCTAGAAAAGTAGGCTTTAAAAAATAAAAATAAATAAATAAATCCTTTACTTGAAAAATGATTGATTCCCTATATAAACTTCCACGGTCCACCCCTCTTTCCACCCCCTTAAGGAATGATTTCCGAGATAAAATGTAGGTATCTTAAGTTCTTCCTAGGGTCTCCAACTATCTCCATAGTCCATACCAAATTTTATCTAAATCGGATCAGTGGATTAAGCGTGAAAAGGTAACAGACCGACAGACCAACAGAGTACAGACAGACAGACAGAGTTACCTTTGTATTTATAATATTAGTATGGTAACACGTCAGAACGTGCTTATTGCAATTTTTAAGCTAACTGCACCCTAAAAGTATTTTTGTCCTTTCAAAGGACGAATTCGAATAATCTGTATTATGTATGTAAATATATATATATTATATCTTTGTTGGTAATTTTCCTGTTGAATACCTAAAAACTATAAAAATGGCAGATATCATTACCGACTTTACCCCTTTTTACTCTCTTGGATCCGATTTAAAAAAATTTGTAAAACTTGTGTTTATTTACTTGTGTTGAAAATCATTAATATTAAGTTTCAAGTAATCCTGATCGTAAATATTTTTCCCCCATATAAACATTACCACCCCATTTTAACCCTTAAATAATTCATCCCGAATTAAAAAAAAACCTAAAATACATTTTTATTATGTTAATACTTTACGACAATTAATAATTAATAAAAATTAATACAATTTTCGTGCATTTAACATTAAAATGACAGAGTTTCAGACAAATTTTCCATCCCTTGTTTTACCCCCTTAGGGGAACAATTTCGCAAAATTCGTCATTTAAGAAATTAAATGACGCTTACTACATCACATCAATACTATTAGTTTACTATATTTAATACATAAATGTGAAGTTTATATGATGATAATATAACAAAAAAATTATAATATTAGATGGATTATCAGAAACGACTTTATACGGTAATTCTCTAAAAGGTCGCCTTAACTAGTCCAAAACATACAAAAATAAATTATCCGGGATTTGTTACAAGCCAGACTTCGCTAAGATAATATTTAAAAAAAGACTTAATATGTAGGGTAGGTAATAGGTATAATAAATACATATAAAGTACAAGTATCGCATGCGATATTCACCTTAAAAGATAATGCATTTAGCAATAACAACTTTGTAACATAGCATAACAATAATAATTACTGTACCACTGTTGAATCTTAATAAATAAAATAAAAAGTATGAGTATGTAGGTACTGAAATTTAAAAAGGACATGGAGGAAATAAAAATCATAAAAATTGTATTTTTACCTTTCATATTACGAGAATATCCATCGTAATATTTTATAAAATTGATGACACACAAATAATAGTCAGCCAATATTCCCTAAGCAGATCTCATCATAAGCTTTTAGGGGTCCATTGTGCGGTAAAAAGCTCTCATATAACTTGTTATAAATAAAAGAAAGGTGTGAATTTTCACAAGCGGTCCTTTAAGCCCCACCCCCTAAGATGGCGTTATCCCCTCCATCAGTTTATCAGCCAGTAACATAACAGAATCTCAATGCAGTGATACCTACAGCTTCCGCATCAGTTTGCTCGGCGCCACCTATTTTCGGAAGCAATTATTACCATTACACAACTTACAACGGAGTATTATAGTCTGTTTTTAGCTTTCGCTGTAATTACTATTACATGTTGTTGAAATGTTATTAGAATTATCAAATTTTGCTGAACACGATAATGAGTTACATACATCATGAATTCTACTAACGATATATCAAGCACGTGTGAAAACGAGTCTGGGTCGTCATTTCATGACAATCTATCAAGCAGTGCAAATCGTATCAGAAAACTGAGTTATAGTTCAGATTTAGGATCTGAATTTGACAGTGAAAATGAAACAATTGATGTGATTTGTGAAAATAGTGATCAAAAAGAACATAGTGCGCATACGACAAATTCAAATGTGTGTGGTAACGCAGATAACATCTGTTCATTAAGCAAAAGTTTCTACGTTAACAAAATGACTGTTAAAACCAAAAATTGTTTTGAGAGTGCTCAATTCACTATAAATAATGTAACAAATAGCACTATCAATGGTAGGGGCAAAAATTTTCTTATTGATAGTATTTTAGGTACCAATCAAAGTAGCACTCGTAATAAATCAACATTCGAAGATACCGAAGAAGAAGTAGGGGACGAACATAATGGTAATTTAATAATTTTTTTAGTAAAATAAAATAACATCAGCAATAACTAAATAGCTTTCATAAGCTATTTAATAAGAAACACGGTTTTAAAGTAACCGCTTTTAAGAGTATTAAGTAATACGCTCAATATTAATAAGCAATTCAATTATAAAATCTAATCGCGAACCTCTGGATAAAGGCCGAACATTGGAAATTATTTTTAATAATATTATTGAATATCCATACGTAATATTATAAATTTGAAAGTGTGTTTGTTTGTTTGTTTGTTTGTTTGTTTGTTTGTTTTTTTGTTTGTTTGTTTGTTTGTTTGTTTGTTTGTTTGTTTGTTTGTTTGTTTGTCCTTCTTTAACGTCGAAATAGAGTGACGGATTGGCGTGATTTTTTATGTGGAGATAGTTGGAGGGCTGGAGATTGACATTAGGCTGCTTTTTACCGCGGGAGATTATCTCAATTCCACGGGATCTCTCTACTCCATACTAACTGTTAAAACGTACCTAGGGATAAACCCGAGCGAAGGGAGGGTAAGTCGCTAGTATGTAGGTAGGTATATAATTAATCTCTTACTATAAATGGAACAGAAAACATCACTATGTTTTATTTAGTAGCTACTTATTCCACAAAGAAATTTGTATGAATATAAAAAAATACCACAGAGCTTAATTAATCTATACCTACATATAATAAAATTGTAACGAAGCCGAATCTGTACATTGAATATTTTTTGGAAAATCTTATTGAAATAAACATTATTATCGATACAGAGGCCGAATCTATAGTTTCTAGAATTTTTCTGTCTGTTTGTCTGCCTGCCTGTCTGTTACCGCATCACAGGAAAACCACGGGAGGGTTTTCGATGAAATTTGGTATGGTGATAGCTGGTTATCCGGGTCAACATATAAGACTTTTTACCGCGGGAAAATATCTCATTTCTGAGGAAAAAATACAAAAACTGCAATGTAACAATATATCTAATACTATGTAATACCTAAGAATTTGGTTTTTGGTCATCTGAACGCGGGCGGAGCCGCGGGCAATGCTAATATGTAATAATTATGGAAATATTGAAAAAAGCATGAACATTGATATAATAATCTATATATCACCTATAAAAATACATATAAGAAATAAAAATATAATAATTACTTAATTGATGTTTGATAGTCTAATAAACATCACAGTTAAGTTTTTTAGAATACAGTATTATGATAGTTAACTTTTTCAGTTTCATCCACCTCAACTTGTCCAGATTTAAGTGGATTAAATGGCGCAGAATTGCTGGCAGGGCACGCGTATGCACATTGGCTTGCTACTCAACAACCTTCTTCAACGTATTACGGTATTTCTCTTTTTATTTCTTTATTTATTAAATTTTAACATTTGTTACCGTTTACACAGATAAAATGATTTATATTATGTCCGATAAATAACTATACATACCTTTTTATATTCATTAACGCAATAACAAAAAGATATTGTAAATATTCGTTAGTTCAATTAAGTGAAAAAAGCGATAAAAAGCCAAACTATAACATTTACAATAATGTAAAACTGTAAGAAAAAAATTACTGTAAAAAATATCATATTCGCACATCCATATTTCAATACTAATATTATAAATGTGAAAGTGTGTTTGTTTATTTGTGAGTGAGAGATTGGCGTAATTTTTTGTGTGGAGATAGTTGGAGGGCTGGAGAGTGATAGGATACTTTATACAATCCAAAAAAATACAATTAAATAAATACGCGTTTTAGCATTTTTCGATAAGGGTTTGGATGAAAATTTCTATGAAACCTACCTTTTTGGAGTTTTTGTTGTAGCTTAGCGCGAACGAAGCCGCGGGTTCTACTAGTAAAGTTATAAATAAAAAAAATAAAAAGTGAAATATTTTTTTTAGATATCTATTCATAAACGATTCCAAAATGTCATCCTGTTTAAACTCCCAGAATTTGAATACCTAAAACTTTTATCTTCTACTATTTGTTTTTAAGACATAAAAAAATCGTAACATATCTAACTGTTAAGCACAGCCATCCTTTTTTTAGATACAAACTACGAGGGATTAACCCCGGTGTAAAATAACACCTTCACCAAACCGTATTCGATTTTAGTAGGTATTTACATCCAGCAGTTTACGACCAAAAAAGAAATCGCAATTTTTGGTTTCCGTATCGGTAATCGGTAAATCGATTTCTTTTTTTCAAAAAAAAAGAAATCAATTTACTGCTGATATGCATTTGATAAATGAATAAACGTGAAAATAAAATATCTTTTGATTAATAACAAACACTAAAAGTTTCTCTGGCACTGTCTTCATGTTTTACAGAAAGTAGATTTTGAATTTAAACAGTATCAATATATGTATATATTTAATTACAATTAATAGGTAGGTGTAAGAATTTTGCGTAATTCCCGCATAAACGTAGGTACAAAGAATTCGATAACTAGTCAAAAATTTCAAATACTATCTTAATTTTTCTTCATGTATGGAGATTAAGTCTACAATTTCATTATACGAGTATGTATGTATGTATATATAAAGTACTTGAATAAGAAGGAGAAGACAATTGTTGGCAGTCTTATTCTAATTCGAAAACTACTTTATCAATTATGATAATAATAATAATAAATCCCTTCAACTACAATTAAACCATACTATAAGTATGCTATACCCGAATCTATATTAGAAAACGATAGATTTAAACTATATTATGACAGAGGTGAGGTAGGTAAGGTACTAACCGATAAGACAATACATTACAATAGACCAGATATAACCATAATAGACAATGAAGTCATTCGCCAGAGAACTAAAGTAACCGAAATTGCGCGCAGAATAAGCTCGCTGAAGTGCAAGTCATGGTGGTCATGGTCATGTCTCCAGACGTACGGATGGCCGATGGAGCCGGAACGTGCTAGAGTAGAGACCGTGTTAAGGCCAGCGTAGTGTAGGACGCCCTGCAGCACGATGGACAGATGATCTAAGAAAGATGGCGGGCAGTGGATGGATGCAGGCTGCCCGGGACCGGAATGGTTGGCGCTCATTGTGGGAGGCCTTTGTTCAGCAGTGGACGGCGATAGGCTGATTGATTGAGACAAAGTAAACAGAACAGCTAAAATAATTGATATAGCTATCCCAAATACACATGATATCCAGAGTACAATAACCGAAAAATTAACAAAGTACTTAGAACTAAAGGATTAGTTTATGCGAATGGGACATCTGCAGAATGTAGTAGTTGTCCCGATAGTTCTTTCAACAAGAGGAATTATACCGAAACAGTTACACCAGTCCATAGTATCATTAAATTTACCCATATTCACTTACATCAACTTACAAAAAGCAGTAATTTTAAATACGTGTAGAATAGTTCGCAAATTCTTACAAACAGATACTGGCAGAGAATCTCTACCCAATGTAATGCAAAAACAGCGTATAACAAATCTATTTACTTGGCTTAGGCCTGTAATAGATATTATTACGGTTAAAAGCCGAGATGAAACAAATTTCCATAAAAATAATGATAATAATAAACTTTTTATTGTACAACAAGAAAAAATAAAAATAAATACAGAACAGATAGAAAAATACAAGAGGCGGCCTTATCGCTAAAACAGCGATCTTATGATTATGAGCAAATATTAATCGTTTAAATTAAAAAGATTATAAATAATATACCTAAAAGAAAATATTAAAACTTTTAAAGATTATAGTATTAATTATTGTTATGATTAGTTCTGTTAATGTCTCTGATGAAGATTATTTCTGGTTCTTTTAGAAAAAAAGAAAATGCAAACTTTATGAAACTTTATTTCTTTGACCAGGAAAAGTGAATTTTTATATAATTTATTATTTTATGTCACTTTTAAACCGAAAAAATAATAGTTTTGTATAGGAGAGAAGAGAGGATAGAAACTTTATGAAAATTCTGCTATTTATTGTGAAAATTATTGAATAGATTTAAACATATAATAAAAAATAAAGAGTATGATATGTCAATAGACGTAATATATTATTTACCCTAAGGAATAATATTAAGGAAAATGAAGGAACGAAATGAAAAATAAAGAGTTAGGTATATACGATTTTTTTCCATGTATTTGTTACTTTGAACATTGCACAAAATTACCAGATTGACTGACATCACAGATTCGGATAAAACTTTTGTGTTTTAAATATAACAATTTTTTTGGTTAATTTACGCGGTTTTATTTTAATTTTTTGTTACTTTTCGAATACTTTACAGCAAGTAAGGTTAGGGGTGAATAAAACCGCGAAAAAATCAGTTTTTTTTTTTAAATATATCCGTTAATGATAAAGAAACTATTATGGAAACTTTCAAAATTTCTTTTTGGTTAAAAAAATTAGTAACAAACTTTAATATATATAATCACTATGATGGCGCTATAATATCGCTGTGAATGTAACCGTAGGTTTGTATAAAATAGAGAGCACAGAATATAATAACTTTGATCGGAAACTATCAAAATTTTTAATGAATAGACATTAACTAATTCCCGTATTTTTAAACGTATCAAATTATGTCTAGTCTGTCTTTATAGAAATTAGTATGGTATTATTCCATATCATTATTAATTAAACAACAAAATATCAATTATTACTGTTGAGGGATGATTGCGTGTGGTGCAACTATACAAGATCAGAATAAAGCGCGTGTGAATATTCGCACCCGAGCGTCGTCACGCGATGCGCCACATGCTATCTCGCTATGTACCTACTTACTGCTACTTTGTCGTTATATTTTCATATACATATTAAATCAAATTACAAAAATTATTTATCATTGAATTTTTTGAAGTGAAACTTCTTTAGAGTCGTTGTGATTTGAAACTCGATGAAACGCAAATGCGACACGATAAAGAGACAAACACATACATATATAGGACTAGTGACTACCCTCGCTTCTGAAGTCTGCCCGATTTGTTGACATTTATGGTTACTGCTCCGCTCCATTGGGTATGAAAATATCGGCCTTCCTAATGCAAAAAGATTTTTTTTTAATCGGATTAGCAGTTCCTGAGACTAGTGCGTTCAACAAACAAACTCAACAAACTCTGCCTCTTTATAATATTAGTATGGATTTTTTTAATTAATAAGTTGTACAAAAGGATATTTAAAAAAAATCACGACAAAAATTCTTGTAAAGGTAAAGAGTAATTACTTATATAAAATAATTTTTGAAGTCCTTTGTACTTAAAAACTAATTATTAGTATTGAGTCAATAACCACTGAACATAAAAATAAATCTTTTGATCGGACCGGGTGCGTCTCTACATACGTTTTGAATAAGATATCCATAATTATTGCGAGTGTACTTTAGAACTTACGGCTGATTTCACCAACGTCACCTAAGTTTAAGTCCCAAAACGAATCCCCTTAGCATGGTTAGGGGGCTGTTAGAAGACAGTTTCTGTTTCACCGACAGTTAGGGGTCACCTAAATGTTAAAATGCCACCTAAATATAGATACTAGAAATACTGGCTCTGACAATGATAAAACGAAATTTAATTTAGGGGCTAGTTTAGGGGAACTTTTAAACTAGGGATCCCATACGTAGGCGGCAGCTTATGGGATGTTGGTGAAATCGGGCATTAGGTATGCTATTGCAATTTTTTCTGTGTATTAAAACTTTTATTTTCTATTAAGTACATTGTTTTGATGTATCTCATAAGGTTTAGCCAACGTTAGACATGTTAATTTCTAACAACGACTCGATAAAACCAGTTATTGTGTTTTCCCGAAGTAATTAAAGATTTCCCAGTAGTGAAAGGTATCCTAACTATTGACCCGAGTAATAAGTTATCACACTACACAAAATTAAGTTAAAATCGGTTAAGTTGGGTGAAATGTGCACATCGATTTCGCTAAATTAGAAGAATACAGAATTCGAGCTGTCCTTGTGCCAAATATTTAAATTAAGTAGTGGAAGTAATGAAAAGGATAACACATAATAATATCTACAAAAATTATAATAGCATTTTAAATATAGGTATCTAATATAAATTATTATCTATATATTATCGATATATCCTGTAGAATTATTTAATTTGTTTGCAATGGCTTGTAACAGAGTTTGTGAAAACTTGATATTCTACTTATTTAGAATTTTCTATTAATTTATGAAATATCTAAAACTTGTTATTTTGTTAACTATTTTGTCACTTCACTTTGGTCGTGATGACCGCTTGGTATTTCGGTGGCTATAAAATTAGTGTGTCATGTGTCACATCTGAGAAAAAGCAGGGAGTCCGTCCGGTCATGCTTTAAACTTTCTGTTTAAACTTACATGTAAAACTCATAGTCATGATTTTTCATTTATGTACAATGTAGGTACTTATGGATATAATAAGTAGATATACTACTTATATATTTTTCTGACATTCCTAATAATTCGATTTTTAAAATACATATTCCTCTTAAAATTCAGTGTCTCAAAATCATGTCACCATGATCAGTAACTTTTTATCACTATCAATATATTGTCTAAATTTACAATTTGTGTTATCAAACATTATAAATCATACGAGTAATTTGCAATAATATTAAAAACGAGTGCTAATTTATTGATAACATGTAAGCTACACGACATGTGGTTTAATTTTTTGCGTCATCAAATTATCCGCTTTAATACGTATGTTAATAAAAATCAATAATTATTTTCAATAATAAAAATCGTGTTAAATAAGAAAAATATTTGTTACATCTCGCTAACGAGGAAAGCTAACAGAGTATACATGGCGTTCCGTTTAGTGCGATAAGTCCGAAGACACATTCGACGAATTGTCGCCAGCCGTCGGACGGTGGTCGCGACTTCGCACAGAAGTGTCGGTAAACAGCTGCCGCGACGATAATTACTGACAAAGCTCGCTTATTTACACTCCCCCTTAGCACGATGTGCTGTTAGAACTGTATCGAGAAAAAATTATACACGAAATTTTTACAAATATGCTAATGCCACGTTCACATTATGACTAACTTATATATAATAAATCGATAATTACAAAATAAATATTATTTATATTGAATATACTTCCATTTAGCACGCAAGTAGCTATTGTGATAATAAGATATTATGCACCTTAAGATACTCTTTACAGTTATAATAAAAAAATATTACGTTCAGTAAAATATTTTCGCAATATAAAATAATAAGCATATATTTAATACATTAATATTTTTTCGTAATTAGAAATAACGAAATTATACAGATACATCAAAAATAATTTAGTAATTCCTAAAATAATACACAAAATAGATACGATACAGAATATAGACGATACAAGTGCGTAAATGCTCGTAAAATATAAATATAATTAGGTAATTGTCAGAGATAGCACTGCCCCAAGCCGCTTACGTAAATCGTTAGCAGTCTGTTAGCGAGACCATCACACACCATACACCCGCCACAATGCTATATTGACATATGAGATTTCAAACTGCGCAGGCGCAATCCAAACACCCTGATTGTGTTTATAGCCACTTAACGAGAGCCTGCGACAATTCCGATTAATACTTGAGAAAAAATTTACCGTGTGTTTGTTTTAAGTGAGAGCAGCTACTTTGTATATTGAGGCGTGTTCTATAATATTTACAACGACATTCTTGAATAAAATTTTAGTAATTATCTTATAGATAATAGTTTGTAATAAAATTTAACATATACTAAAATATTTTTAATGTCTAATGATTGTAATTTAAACTTTACACTTATAAAAATATTTTGTTTATCAGATGACAAAAACAGCAGAAGACCTAGACGAACAGGGCCCGAACGGAAGCCACGACAAGCGTACAGTGCTAAGCAGCTAGAGAGATTAGAATCTGAATTCAAAGTCGACAAATACCTCAGCGTATCAAAAAGGATGGAGCTTTCAAAAGCATTAGGACTGACTGAGGTTCAAATAAAAACATGGTTTCAAAATCGAAGAACAAAATGGAAGAAACAGTTAACATCTCGTCTAAAAATCGCACAACGTCAAGGATTATTTTCAGGACATATCTTCGGACCTACTCCACAAAGTTACTCTCTCTTAAACCCTTACGCATACACGCCTCTCAGTTGCGTATTCACCCCAGTAAATTTACCTTCATCTCCACCTTAAATTTAAGGTATTCGTAAACAAAAAAGTATTATTAGTATTATAATTACCTTATTCTTTAGTGGCTGAAGCAGTTTTTTTTTCAAATTAGATTAATGTTGATGATTTAATATTATTCATATTATCTTGTTATTTGGCCATAGATCTATTAAGATGAGTCGTGCTCGCTCGATTTGTAATATTTGTATAATATTTACTGTTTTAATTATAGTGCTAAATGTACACAAGTACGCCGTAACTCGCTACTTTTGTCACTTCGAGCTGACACCATGACGGTACAGGTGTCAACTTAAAGGGAAATAAGTACGTCTACCTTCTTTCTATATGATTATAATTATTATTATTATATATTATATAAATTACATTATTCTACTGAAATTGATAATATTTTATAAGCCACTTTAAGAAAAATGAATAATATTATAATATTTACGCGTATTTATTATGTTTGTACGTTATATATGCAATAGTAGATATTATGTATAAAGGGAAACATACGCTGCTATTTGTTATACAAACTTTGTTATTAATAAAATAATTAAACATATCACTTATTAATATTATAATTATAGTAAGTACGGATGGGAAATGAAATGAGATGTATTATATTATGTGCAATGTAGCTTATAGTCATTTATAGATGTCATATTTTTATTTAAGCATGTATTATGAAATTTTATCAATAAATATCACGCCGTAAGAGAAGATACGATACTGTATTATAATATTCTAATATTAATAAAAAAGTAAATATATTAAATTGTACACAATTAAATAAATATAGTAAAATAAGAGTACCTAATGTATTTTTATTCGCCCATATTTTTCATTTTAGGTAAAGTTAAAATGGTGTAGGTGATGACGAGAGCTTATAGTGGTATATGGAATACTCATTCAAAAATTATATTTGGAAAATATTAAAAAAAAGAAGTCGGAACTCTACTTTGTCCGTCTGCGTGCGTTACATAAAAACAACGAGGCACGCTACAGTCTTTGATATCACCATCAACAGCAATAGATTGATAGAAATGGATTGTTTTGCATTTCTATAGCTATATATATATATATATATAAATATATATATATATATATATGTGTATATATATATATATATATTTACTCTATATCTCTACTTCACAGAAAAAATAATATAATATGCTAACTTATATTCTAATGGTATATTAGTCAGCTGTAAAAAGTTCTAAGGGGCTGTTTTAGTTTCACAAATATATCAAAGAAATAATTAAGAAGTCAGTGTAAAATTGTTAAAATATACTTAAATAAACACATTTAACTTCCTTGAGTATATTTTCTGCAATTTGTTACGTTTTTAGATCTCTTTCACTTCATGAAGATACAATACGACTAGGTATATCAATTAATTTTACTTAATTGAGAAAGCTCTGGAATTTGTATAAACAGCAGGATTTATTATCCACGTTTATACCATACTCGTAACTTTTTTTTACTTGATGAGGAACATATATAAGTTCAACAGATATGCTGGATATCAATGAATGATGAGTTTCTGTAACATTTATTATTAAAAATAATTTGTTTTCGTATACAATATATGTAGTTAAAACTATTCCATAACTTTTATAAGTTACTTAAATTTAATTCGCAAGCTAAACATAAAGTTATAAATTAATAAACCGGTTTAAACGCATTGTTTCTTAGGATAGAAGGTGTCACAATCAGCTCCGCCCAGTCCCAGAGCTGCAGCCCGCAACGTGCCAAGAGAACTGCCCCGTATCCACGCTACGCCTGCACTATGAAATCATTAGATTTAAATACAATACATTTATATATATATATATATATATAAAACATATAATTCTACACCAAAAGCAGGGGTATAATTGTATTTTTTATATTTTTGTGTCTATTTAAAAAAAAACATAATAATCTCCTAGCACTATAAACATATGCCTAATAGAGCAAAGGAGCCGTACATTTAAGAATATACATATTTGAAAAATAATATGGGTCCTGTCCGTTTGTATGTTTGTTAGTCACGAACATCTGAGTTGATTCTAAGATGCTTGAGCTCACCGTGATAAGCACACTCCTATGTAAAAATCTTCAATTATATCCTCCGGTACACAGCCAGAAACTTCTATAATTTATAAAGTGTTTTATATCACAGTAAGTACTTTTTTAAACCGAGAGAATGCGAGTGAGAGAATGAGTGATTAGGTTTTTACATTTTTACGCTGCGACAGCTCAACGGATTTGAATGAAATTCTAAATGAAGTTAGTTTATTCCCTGGTTTAATAAATATTTTTATCGGTGTATCTACCTACCACGTGGTGGCTTAGTCGTCTCTTGATTCTCTACATTACTAGAAATCTCGTTAGAGCCATTACCACACATCAGACTTTATTTTAGTAGGAAACTAAGGTGTAGAAACATCTATAGTAACTCAAACAGTAAAGAGCAAATACTATTAGGATATTTTTACAATAACTATTCGACATATAATTTAAAAAGAAATAAAAATATTAATTAACATAAAACCAAGGAAAAAAACATGTATACTTACTGCCACAGCGGCAGCCAATATTTATTACTATCACGAATTTTTCTTGCTTCCTTGTTGCCCAAGCATAATGTTCGATATAAGCACAATGTAGACTGAGGCTTAATCGCTATTAATGCATGCCGGGCTAAATTATTAAGAGTGGAAATAGATCGACTTGAGGATTCCGTTTCTCTCTTGGTTCGAAATACGTCATCCACGTTAACTGTGTCACCGTTGTCCACTACTTGCATTAGTTGCGGCTGTGGATGGTTCTGGAAATTGATGACGCACCTAAGTATAAGTAAATAAATAAATATGTTGGGACATTAATACACAGCACCGTCTAGTTCCATGGTAAGCTACGAGGCTTGTGTTATGGATACCAGATAGTTGATACACTACATACATATAACTTTAAATATATATATATATATATATATATATATATATATATATATATATATATATAAATATTTACACCCATGAGTGGAGTACAACCATTCGTGCTCATCACACAAATGAATGCCCCCAGCGGGACTCGAACCCGCGACCACAACAAGTAGGGTCACTACAAACTGAGCCAAACGAGTTGTCATAGTAATATTATTTTTTAGTAATATTATTTTTACGCTTAGACCACTCGGCAATCTATGTCATAAACATGAGTGTAATACGATTTATTCATAATATGCCTTGTTGGTGTAGTACCTATCTTTTTATAGGTATATAAAAATAAGATGCTGATCGTTGGTAAGCTTAATGAATAATGTGTACGGCTGGATCAATGCGGCTTTTTAAATTTTCGTATCAAGGGATAAAATTGAAAAAGTTATTAATAATCCCGGGTAATCGAGAAATTCAGGAACACTGAAAGTGTTTTCTTCTATAGGAATTTATACAAATCCAAAGATCACAAACTTTATTGAAACTGGGACAGGATAACGTCAAAAGTTGCCCTGTCCATATTCTGTCGGGTCAGCTAGTATTTAACCGACTTCCAAAAAGGAGGAGATTCTCAATTCGTCGGAATCTTTTTTTTTAACAAAAGCAAATATACACTTACCATAGTAATACATAAAAGCACTTGCAAAACAAACATTCCAAATGACAAGAAAGCGATCCCTGTAAGAGATATTTCAAAGAGATCAGCTAGGCCGAGACCGTGAGAGTGTTCCACACTGTATTCCTCGTGGACTTCGTGTACCTGTGGTACTTGATGATGGTATAGCTGTGGTGGAGGAGGTGGTATAGAGTACTCATAACCGCCACCTGAATTTTATAATGTGACAAATTAAGTATAATAAATGTTACTACTTATATGTAAAATATATATCTATAGGTACTTTAAATGTTTTAAGAAAGCTTTTCTCATTAACTTAAACTTAAAAACCCTGCATTCGCTCGATCATAAAGTTAAATATCTGTCATGTGTGTGTATGTATTCAGTACATTTCAACGTCCCACTGCTGGGCACGGGCCTCCTTTCAATACTAGGAGGATCAGGCCATAGTCCATCACGCTGGCCAAGTACGAGTTGGCGGACTAAATGTCTTAAAATAACAAAATACCGAATATGCTTTTTACTACGTATAATGTCGTCGAAACGAATCAAGTAATCCCAAGCCCCAAACTCAAAGGTTTAAATAATAACAGATTCTTTAAAATCGAGTTTTAAGATTTCACTAAATATGACTTAAAAGTCAACCTAAACTATCGTTTTAATAATAAAAATAAATGTTCATACTATGCTTTGAAACGTCATATACTAATCCATCATTGCCTCCCAGGGTATCAGTGCCCTCAGCCGCTTCATAGCCGTCTCTTGCTTCTGGACGAAGAAGTGAAGATCCTGGTTGTTGTGAAATGTTAAAGACTGAATTCGCAGACACATTATAATGTCGATAAACGTCATTTAATGCCATTACTCTGCAATGAAAATTACTTATTTTTATACTACATATTGCAACACTTTCTACTTTTAAAAGTTAAATGCCCAATTTCACCAACGTCACCTAGTTTAAGGGATCCCCTAAGCATGGTTAGGGGGCTGTTAGGGGACAGTTTCTGTTTCACCAACAGTTAGGGGTCACCTAAATATTAAAAGGCCCAAAATATGGGCTTAAAGACGATCGTAAAACGAAATTTAATTTAGGGGCTAGTTTAGGGGACTTTTAAGCTAGGGATCCCATATGTAGATCACCTGTGATAACTTATGGGTTGTTGGTGAAATCGGGCAAAAGTATTTTAAAGATTATTATGTTGTATATATCAACTTATTTCTTGTAATATTACGTAGATGGCACATGTTATATAAAAAGTAACTAACTTAGCCAACCACTCCTGATAATTAGTAGAACCAGCATCATATAACAGATTGTTCCTTATGTCTTGAGAGCGCCTGGAGAACACACTCTTTCCCATATCAAAACTCTCAAACGGTGTTCCAATTCTATTTTGTAAGACGTTCTTGCCCATTTCCTCTAATATTTGCTCTGCGACATAATTTCTACAATGGTACTCGTTCATCATTTTTCTGAAAAATAAAAGATTGTAATATATTTCTTTTTTTTATTAATGAGCTTTGAGCAGATCATGCGAAAAAATCACGCAGAATTTGCTCCATATACTTGATTCCTTACTTTCTGCCATACAAAAAAAACTGTTTTGGCGCTATTCAATGTAAAAAAATCTTTTGGAAAAATCTACATTTTATTCATCTTTCACCAAGATCATGTTTCAAATTTATACATATAATAATAAAATAGTAACACAGCGAAATACGTACCTGAAATATTTTAAAAAAACAAAGCCTGTCATGTATTGTCTGTACGACTGTTTGTGTGTATATCTATGTACTTAAGTATGTTTTCATGCAAAAAGCACGGGTGGATTTTTACTAAATTTTTTATAATGACAACTTATTACGGGTCAACGTTCAGGATACCTTCTAAAAAAAATCTCGTTCCCAAGGGAAAATACAATAACCGTTTAAGCCGAGTTGTCCTTGATTTTAAAAATGTCTATCATTAATAATTTACGCAAAAACTATTAGTAGCAAATATTATTTAACAATTACGTCCGATAAAATTTCTCATTCTCAAGGGAAAATACAAAATTTAGTTCGAGTATATATCGCTCATCTATATCTATACATATAATAAAATTCTAACCGAGTCGAATCTGTACATTAAATATTTTTTGGAAAATCTTATTGCAATAGACATTATTATCTATGCAGAGGTGGAATCTATAGTTTTTAGAATTTTTGTCTGTCTGTCTGTTACCGCATCACGGAAAAACCACCGGAGGGATTTTGATGAAATTTGGTATGGTGATAGCTGATTATCCGGGTCAACATATAGGATACTTTTTACCGCGGGAAAATATCTCATTTCTGAGAAATAACACAAAAACTGCATTGTAAGACTATACTAACATGTAAAACCTTAGAATTTGCTTTTTGGTCATGTGAACGCAGGCGGAGCCGCGGGCAATGCTAGTCTATATACATATATTATACATAATTTGTACAAAATGGCTGAACTGTGGCTGAAAGGGTGTTTTGACAAAGAAACTTTTTCATGAAATGAAATGCATTGCATTTACGCTTACATACATTTTGAAATGTTCAAATTAAAGACGTGTAGACAGGATAACGTCTGTCGGGTCCGCTAGTGTGTTTATATGGGACTCACCAGCTAGAAAAGCCAGTACCTACCTACTAAAGCCCAACAGTATCAGATTGTACAGAACCGTACAGCGTACTTAAAGAGGAAAAATGGAACCCTTAGAGGGTCACTTCTGTCGGTCTGTCTACCAAGACTATTTTTCTTAGAAACCCGTGGAGGTATCAACTTGAAATTATCAATTATTATTATATCAATTACTCAGGTCTGCAATCCTTAGGATCTGCGAAAAAATCAGTCTTTTAAGTAAATGCATTCAAAAGATTCGGCCGTTTATGTTGCAGATTTTAACGCTCGCTAAACTTGATAAACTTTAAGCTCGCTAAGCTCGCTTGAACTCAGAAGGGAATCAAAACCTATATATTCCCGTTCACCTAGAATTATAAAATTTGGCAAGAAGCAATGTCTTATAGCACAAGTAAAGAGAAAAATCTGAAAAGACATTACAAAAAACCTTATCTTAATGTTTCATACTACAGAACTCTTGGTGTGCGAATCTGACTAACATTTGACCGATTTTTATTTCAATAATATTTAAATATAAAACAACACTTTTAAATATTATGTGAATTATAAATATTAATATATACCTAACAAGTAATACTCAGAAATTTTAAATTGAATATAATACAAATGTACCTGTGAAAATCCAATGTAGACAAAGCTGCATCTATTGAACCATTTACAGCAGGCATTTGATTATTATTTTTGGTTTTGTCAGTTACGTTATTACTTTTTGCGTCCACCATAAAATATATTGGCATTAAATCGGTCCGCAAAATATCATCCACATTTAAATCATCTTCAATAATTCTGTTGGCGATAACTATTTTTGAAAATATAAAAATTAAAATAATTTTTCCCAGTGACATTTTACAGAACACATGTATGAATGTCATGGGACTAGATATACAATAAAAACCCAAGCTTCCGTTCACTGTGCCATTTAACTGAGATATTACACGGGTTATAGAGCAGAAAATTCTTCAGCATTAAGATTGTATCGTAGATCCTAACTGTTAACGTGTTTAGCTCAGGTGGTTAACAGATTTTCCAACAAAATATATGCTGCGTATTATTATTATTTTTAAAATATCTATCTATATGCTTTCAAGTTTACCTACTTATAATATTTTATATAATTTAATTTGTTAATCCCATAAAGTTCGATTTATATTAAATCAGTGAAAGAAAGCCAGTTTATCTATTGAAAAAGGTTAGGTTGGTTAGTCACTATACATACAAAGTCATTTTTGTCCGTTTATCTTTTGAACTGATAAATCTTCGAAATGACGGCACTAAAAATAAAACAACCCCGATAATAAAATTCCCGAAATTATAGATACCTACCGGATTCATTGAAATTATCTAACAATAATATTTTAGTTTCCTCAATATTTTTGAATGTTATAGGTATTATAGTTCAATCGGAATCCGGTTTGGGAACAAAATATTGAAAACCTGAAGTATCATGATTTTAAAATGGTAGCAAGTATTATTATAAGGAATAGAAATTCGTAAAATGCCCTCTATGCCCAGCTACCCCCGAGAAATGGGAGGACGCAAAGCGTTGAAAAAAGTTTTTTTTTTCAAATTTCGGCTTACTCGAAACTTAATATCTCAAAAAGTTTGAGGTTATTGTAAAAAGTACTTTTTATAAAAGTTGTAGATTTTTACTAAACCTACAACTTTTGTAGAAAACATTTTTCGATAGAACGTCACACTAGGCCGGAAATTAAAAAAAAAACTATTTTTCAACGCTTTGCGTCCCCCCATTTCTCGGGGGTAGCTGAGCATAAGGGAAATTTTACGAATTTCAATTCCTTATATACCTATACCAAACTAAATTCTGAAGCATAGGATTATTATTTTATAGGATAAGTTATGATTACCTATAGGTTTTCAATTTCGTTTCATATAGGTATTTTTATAAAAATCCACTAATCAAGTCGTAATAAGTAAACAAAACAAAATAGATTTGAGTTATGATTACATGTAAGGCTATCAATTTAAATTACTAACGTTATTGTACAACAGATTCACCCCAGCTCTTAAGTGCCCCGACGGGGCGGATAGCGGATCCATTATATGCCTAATATTACAAATGCTTAGATGTCAAAGAAGCGACGTTTGACGTGAGAACAAACCCAGGTTGCAGTGCTATTAAAATCCTTTTTTATTTTATCTTCGAAGCTCGGAAGAAAATTTGCTTTTAGTATTAAATTTCATTTTATGAACGTAAACAAATATTATACGGGAATAAAAAGTAATAAAACCATATTCATTACATCAGTTTGTATTATTTATATAGGTATATTAGACCGCGTGGTGTATTACAATATTTAAATTGTATTATATACATACCACGGCCTTATAAATTTTAAGAGGTTTTGTTAACATTGGAAAATGCTGTGGCTTCGACTTTGAATCCCCAGCCATAGGGTTACCCTTCTTTCCATCCTGTACGAGCAGAACTCTCACGATCACTGCTCTTGAAAGTACCAGGAGCAGACTACTTTGTATAATATATAATACGCTGAGTAGTTTTTACTTTATAACTTTACCAAAGTGAACCCGCTAACGGACCTACAAACCACTACCCACATACAATTTCCGCTAAAGAATGATTTCGTTATCATTCAAAACTGCATCAAATAGATATGCACAAACTGCGAATTTATTTTATAGGTTTAATTTGTTTTATAGGTATAAGTAACTTAGAATAAAAAAATCGACAAGTAAAATACGAACTAAAAAGATATACCTAACCTACATCTACGTATATACTATATGTTGCAAGATTTGCAGCAAAGTATACCTACTCGTAAAACATATAATATGTATATCTCCGTAACAGGTATATCTCCGACTCCATAATGTTGTGCTTTGTTCCTTTTTTTTAGTTTTATTCAATTAGGCCTTTGGAGTTATTTGACAATTTACCTACCATAAATTATTTTTGAAATATATAAGCTGTACCTATGTATTTTTGTGATTGCTTCTTAAAAACCTTCATTTTTATATCCCACTCTTTAGGTTTGGAAGAAAAACATTTTCAAGACAAAATGGCACCTGAAATCCGTCATTTTAATTATTAACCTCACTGCGGCGAAGCCCAAAGATAGGATCGGACATACATATATATGTACATACAAGTCCAACATAACCTTCATTTACGCTTCGCCTCAGTCGGGTAAAAAAGGAAAGGAACTCTTTTCAACACCCTTTTTTATTGTGCTAACAAATGTTACAGGTACATATTATATACCTATTTTTCCTAAGAGTGTCGTTTTGAAATTCGATGGTAATCCCAGGGTCTTAAGCCATGCGGGGCACACAACAACTTAAGACCTTTTAAAAACTAAAAAAATGCAAATGATAATTTTTTTTACTAAAATACAAAAAGACCTCGATGGTGTAAAAAAGTGAACTACAATGAGAAAAAGTTGACTAAGTATTTACAGTGCAATGTAATCTATTACAATTATAATAAAATTGTAACTGAGTCAAATCTGTACATTAAATATTTTTTGGAAAATCTTATTGAAATAGACATTATTATCGATACAGAGGCCGAATCTATAGTTTTTAGAATTTTTGTCTGTCTGTCTGTTACCGAATCACATAAAAACTACTCGACGGATTTTGATGAAAGGTATGGTCATAGCCGACTATCCGTGTCAACATACAGGATACTATTTACAGCGGAAAAATATCTCATTTTTGAGAAAAAATACAAAAACTGTAATGTAAGAGTACCTATACTAATATGTAAAACCTAAGAATTTGGTTTTTGGTCATCTGAACGCGGGCGAAGCCGCGGGCAATGCTAGTATAAACTAAAAATTGAGCTTTTTTCTCTTTTCCAAATAAACGAGAACGTTGTCTTTTTGAGAACCTCATGTCATGTCATGAGGTTGTGGGCCCTAGGCATGTCCCGTGTGCTCTTGTGGTAAAGACGAAATTGGGTAATACAATTAGAATAATTATAATTTATATAGGTACCTGATGACCTAAAAATGAAGCCATTAGATGTACTGTTCAACTTTTCAATTTTTACTAGTAAAATCTTCGAGTTTGGGCTCAATTTATTCGTTTTGAAGTCGGTTAAAAAGTGTGTTTTTCAGTTTTTAAACCATAATATATTTTTTATTTTTATACTTTAGATTGTTATTACGTACTTAATCAATTTTAATCTTAACTTTTTGAGATCACTCAATGAAACACCAACCACATATATCATATACATTTTTTTATTTAATTTACACATAGGTATACGAAATAATACAAAAAAGTAACACGTTTGTATTAACAGTAAAAGTTGAGAATCAGTAACATTTATTTGAATACCTACATTTTATTTGTGTATTTCATTTAATTCATATTCTAAATCCTTTTATAAATGTACATAACTTTTAGTTCTTTTATTCCATAGTCAATTTTTAAATGCTACAATTAAATCTACCGAACCTAATGGGATACATAGGAATACTAAACTTTCAACTAAGATTGCATTTAAGTTCTATGAATCAGTTTTACTTTTAAAGAAAGTATTTTACTTTATCAGTTTTTTAATATTAATTATTACTCTATACATAATTTATACTAACTCGCATTCATAGCATCCATATTAATATTATAAATATGCAAGTTTGTGGGTATGGATGTTTGTTACTATTTCGCGCCAGAACGGCTGAACGGATCTGGATGAAATTTGGCTCAGAGATAGATTATAGTCTGGAATAACACATAGGCTTATTTTTATCCCGGAAAAATATATGGTTCCCGAGGGATAGATTTCTTTTCGTTTTTCTAGAGGCAAACAGAAACGAATCGAGTGTGAGCCGCTAGTAAGTCATAAATCATAATCGACGACATTTTAGGTATTGTATCCAATAATCACAGTTATGGTAAATATTTCAAGCATGAAAAATAAGGACCTAATATATAGAAAATAATTTAAATCTAATAAATTAAGCTTGTTACAAAGTTGTATATTTCATATAAAAACTTTCTGACCATGTAGCTGAATTTTCAGTCACTACTTTTAGTTTCATATGAATTCTGTACTTGTTTTCTAAATAACACAACTGCAATGTAAAAACTGGGCTTGACGAATACTAATAGACCAAGTGTAAAGTGATGCTATTTATACACACAATAATAAAATTGACTATTATAAACGGACACAATTATTACAGATACTTTATTTTTAATTGTTGTCGAAATAATATAAAATAACTTCAAATTTTTGAATAGTATAATGCTTACTATATTCTTTGTCAAAATGACAAATAGTGTGCATATTGAGTCTTTCTCATATATTGACTACACATCCATTGATTTACATAAAACAGAATATAAGATTCCAATTATTTACATTTGTACCCAGTACTTATATTACACACTTTGGACATTATGACATTGAAAAAAGTACAGGTCAATATAATTAAAAAAATCGTTATGATTTGATTAAAATATTATGTATAAGCAAATCAATAAATATGTTGTCTATATTATAATAACATTAACATAACTCATGCAGACAGTAGGACATCCCAATTTATTTGATTATTATACACTTCTTGTTCTAGCCATATTTCATAATTAATCATGAACTCCTCGTCAAGCTCTAAGTTTGTATCTAGAACACTGTTAAGGTCTGTGTCAACTGGCACCAACTCACTTTCTAGATCATCACCCGATCCATATCTCCTTCTGTTAAACCTCTCTACACAGACTCTCAGAGCACATTCTTCATCTTGAAAATCCCATGGCCGGGCATCGACTTCATTTCCAAAAGCCCAATCATCATTCAGTCTATGTCTTACTTTGGAGTATATAGCACTAATAATTTTCATATTTGTTTTTCTCCATTGCCTCCCTAAGTACTTAGTTTGCATTTTTAAAAGTTTTAACACATAAAATTGCATCAACGCATGTCTCACTTTTAATATACGTTTGAGTATTGGTGCACTTTTAAAGACAACAAGCATCATAATTCTTGCATTTTTCCATTTTGTTAATTTATTTAGAATTCTCAATAAATTTATACTGGAAAATACGTTCCTCCAAGAATAAGGGACAGATGAGTCCCCAATGTCCAAGCATTCCTTTGTTAGTTCAGGTTGCTCACCTATAACACATGCAGGAAAATCAAATATTGGTATTGTATTCTTTGCTCCTATATGAGCTAATATATTCTGATTGAAAAACTTCAATACAAGGGGCATGCAATTAGCTATTACTAAATGATTAGACATATATTCAAACTGATAAACATGATTTAACTTAAAATGTTTCAATAGCAATAACAATATAGCTGTGACAGCTTTCACAATGATTTCTTTATGTCTATTTACGTCAATGCCTAGTTTTAGTGATTGAAGGACTGTCATCGGCATTTCTTCAGGTAAAACATCAGCCATTATATTCATTGAGTATGTTTTTGCAGTGGAAGTTGGTGTGGCTGCCAGGAGTATCTTTAAAAGAGCAATTGTGTATTGTGAAAGATCTTGTTGCATGGCCTTGTACAGAATCTCTGCCTCAGTTTCCTCCACTTCCTTTTCACCTTTTGTCAAAGGACTTCTAGCTATTTCTAGCTCTCTTTCTATTTGAACTTCAGCAAGGCTTGTATACATATGTTTTTTTAATATTTCAATACCTTCATGAATGGGCTGTGGCAAGCCTGCTATCGTTTGCCTATCTCCAGGAAGAGAATAGCCAACAAATTTTATCCTAACATTATCCAGAAACAAATCAATATCTTTTTGGCGAACTTTTGATTTCCAAGGCAAACTCCTTGGTAGTGGAGGGGGCGGTGGTGGACTATCAAAGCGCTTTATATACATGTAATAGGGGCAATTTTGGTTTGCATTAGCATTTTGAATGCTATCTGCAGACATTGATTGAAACTCCATTGAGTAATCTTCAGATCCATTTCCAGTTTCTTCCTTGTCAACAAATATTTGTTCGTCTGATTCATCCAAAGAAGTTTGTTTCATAAAAGTTTGTCTACGGAGAGCTCTTTCATTTTCTTTTAGTTTTCTTTGACCAGGGTTTTGATTTTCTAACATATCTGTGGCATTAGGTGGTGGTGAGCTTGAGCGCATACTTTTTATTATTTCAAGTGTATCTTCAGTCACTGGTGGTAATCCATATTTTTCACGTAGTCTAGCTTTCCTTCCCTTAAGCTCTTTAGATCCCCCTAGATAAACAAGTAGTATTTTCCACAATAATAATAAAACCTTTTTAGTAGGAAAATGTGGAGTTGTACCAGCACATAACTGTGTTACCATACCAAGAAGTTTTACTGGAAGTAATTCTTCTCCAAATGGTGTCCCTATTTCCTCTTTAAACATTTTCACTAAATGTTTATATTCCGAATCTGGGTTTTCTTTTTCAGTTCTCATATGCTCTGTTATAAGATATAATACAGACAAAATGACTCTTAAATTAGTAGAGTCTGCTAAAGATTCAGCAAGCTTTCTAGATGCTACAGCAGCATTGCTTCTGACGATTTCCAGATTTAATAATTCAACAAAGGCTGCAAATGATCCCATATCATACAAAGTCATAATATTAAGACGAGCCCAATGAGCTTGTTCCGCATCAGATTGCATCTCAGCCCAACAGCCCTGAGCTAGGTATAAAATACACCGGGTGGCTCTCATACGTATTTCAGTTACAGCGACATCAAGATGTTCCAGTAGCTTCATTACGACAGTGCGTTGTTGTTTATTTGTAAGCCTTTGCCAGCTAGGAGGAAAATTGAATTCTTCCATTATATCTTCAAATGCCTTTACATTAAGCTGAAATTCTGGATGTTCTGTATAGCTGTAAAGTTCTGCAATTTCATTCGCTTGAGTATCACAATCATCATAAACGAAATCTAATTCGGGGCTTTCATCGTTCAGACTCACACATTCTCCTTCTTCCATAGGACGGCGCACATCAGGCAATTTGGCGCCGCCTCGGCGACCATTACCATTAGTACCCATTTTAATAAGCACTTAATTAAAACGAGAGTGATTTACATCTTTAACAAAACTATTAGAGTTTCAGCAGCAATAAAATATGAAATTGAAATCACAGCAATTGTCCCCCATTCACCGATTCTACAGAGTACAGAATAATAAATAAAAATATGGCTGAAAAATTGACAGATACACATAAAAATACAAGATTAAGCCTAATCTGCACTAGCCACATTTCTTAAAAAGCCCATATAAATAATATTTTAATTTTTTTATTAAAATTTTAAATTATAAAAAAATTCTATGCAATGAATATTATTAAATTTTCTTAAATTATGTTTAACCTTTATTAGTACGTTGGTATGTTTAAAGTCATAAATAATATATGTTCAAAAATATATTTTTTTATCATTTTAACACATATCAAGTCCTCTAAATTTTTCCTTTAATTTAAATGATCATTTTTTATAGTCAGACCTATCAAAATCAAGAGGGTAAAGCAACAGAGATTGTTTCTATTTCTTGTCATATGACTCAACCGGTTAAGCGTTGTAATTCTAGTAAAGAATTGGCAATTAATTGATAGGCATTTATGTTGACATTCATTTTATGTACTAAGTTAAATAAATAATTAATTTAAATTAATTAATTATTTTTTTTGTTTTATTATTTATTGTTTCTGAATCTTAATTATTCTTCTACAGGTGAATATATTTTTTTATTTTTTGTACTTTTTACATATTAATTACAGAGTTACATACAAACTTTCATTCCCCATTTTATCCCCTTATAGGATTGAATTTCAAAAAATGTTAAATTCCGTATTTATTTAATTGTATTAAAGAGCACTAATACCAAGTTTCAAGAAAATTCTGATCATAAATATTTTTTTATTCATATAAACTTTATTACCTCCCTTTACCCCTTTCATGGATGAATTTCAAAAAAATCCAATAAATATATTTCTTATTTTTTATCTTAAAGCTAAACACAACTTTCTGCGTATTTCGCATCAAGAATAACAGAGATTCATACAATCTTTAATCCCGTATTTTACCTTCTCAGGGGATGAATTTCGAAAAATTTCGTTTTTATTGGATGCCTATATTAATATAAGGAATACGTCATTCAAATTTCAAGTTTCTACGACCAGCGGTTTATGCTGTGTGTTGATACTTGATCCATCGACCATCAGTAAGACAGGACCATCACAGGTTGCACCACTCCTTCTCAATTCTTTCTTCAGCTGGTCTAACTTATTGTACATTGCACAGGTAAGATGCGTACATAATAGAAGCAAAAAACCAGGTACAAAAGCGATATCACGATAAATTGCTTAAAGTTAGACTGAATGTAAAGTGTGACTGAATAGGCGTTACGTGTGGCGCCCTCCTTTCGAGAAATCTTCGCTTTTCCACTTTGATGTTTTCGAGGATCGAGCAGCTAGCTGGCAACACTGATTGTGGTTTTATTTTGCGGCCATTTTATTAAAGTTTGAGTTTGTTGTGAGGTTGCAAAGCGTGTTTGTTGGTAATTGTCAGTATTTAAACTATAAATGCTTAAAATAATTAGATAAAAAACATTAAAAAAATGCAAACAGGCAGTGGAGCAAAAAACCCACCATGGGCTCGTTCAAATGTGAACACTAACATGACCGGCATGAATCCGCAGATTATGGACCCAAATGCCGCAATGATGTCTCAACAAGGTATGATGCCTTTTCAGCAGACTCAAGCTGTGTTTAATCCAAGCATGATACAAGCACAAGGTGGTATGGCAATGCCAATGGCAGGACAAATGCCAATGAACCAAATGGCACAAGGTCAAATGTATCCAGGAAATGTTGTAGCTTATCCTACACCACGCGCGATGAATCCAAACATGTATCAAAACAATACACCTAATCAAACACAGCAATCAAGTGAACAGCGAGTATTTACCGGTACCGTAACAAAGACGCATAATGATTTCGGCTTCGTCGATCATGATGTATTTTATCAGACGTCTGTCTGTCCAAAGGGAGCCATTCCCAAAGTAAACGACAGGGTACTTGTTGAAGCTACATATAACCCCAGTATGCCCTTTAAATGGAATGCTACTCGTGTACAACTTCTACCAAAAGGTGGACCTAACCAAAAAGTTAATCCTCAAAAATCTAATACCTACAATGCAGTCCCACCACCATCTAACAAAAAGGCTATGCTATCACGTCGCGATGACCGACGTGATGATCGACCTTCAAGAAGAGATGACAGAGTAAGACTTTAGAACATTGTTTATTTTTAATATAACTTTACGTACCTATCCATAGTCAATATTAATATTAATATAAATCTAAGATTATTTTTAACTCTGTTATGTAATAAGTACCTGGGCTACCGACCTTCGCTCGGAGTTTTTGGCTTAATGTACAATTTTCTTTTTTTTTTAAACTAAAAACTTGAATAAATATAAAAAAAAGCAAATGTAAAAACTAGATTTGAACCTGGACACCTGTGATTGTTGATCTTGCACCTTGGCCGCTTGACCACGAATCTTATGCCCCAACGTGCAAATTACCAACAATTTTTTTCATGTAATAATGCAAAAGAATATTGTATGAAAAATCGAAAACATATGCGTTTTCTCAGACATAAGACTAATCTGGATCGATTTAGCGCCCCCAGAATCCCTTGTATACTATGAAAATTGTTGGAGCCATTTCTGAGATTCAGATTATATATACAAGAATTGCTCATTTAAATATATAAGATAGATAACTAACTGTATGAAGTGCCCATAAGGGCTACACCAAAGTGCATACACCAAAATACATGAAACTTACAAATTTTCTTGTATGTAAATGAACCCTATTCAAACTTGAATTATTTTCATAAACATTGTTGAGCATAAATAACAACAAACATATAAGTTTCAAATTTTATATGTAAAATATAATGAATTATCATTATAACAGCCACAGTAGCAACATTGCTACTGGAGGCTTGAACAAGATGTCACTTCAATCAATAACTTATTAAGAAAATATAAAAGTTTGTTTATGAACATGTCTTACTATGTTTAATGTAAAGCCCCAATTCCAGAAACGATCGCGTACGAGGAGTCGATCACGATCACGTGATAGACGAGATAGTCGTACTCGCAGGGACTCTCCACCAAGGAAGCGCCCAATAATGCATCAACCATCACCTGCTAAATACGTTGTTAGAGTCCCTAGAATACCACTTGATATGTAAGGCATTTTTTGATTTAATTTCTCTAAAGAAGAAACGATATATCTTGTATATTTCAGTGTCTCAGTATTTTTCTTTCAAAATGTTGTATTTATAAATTGAAGTATATGATTGACCCACTTATGAACTTATATTGTGATAGTATTTTCTCGTTATTAATTACTGGCAACTTACCTTTGATTTGCTCAGGTATATCCCTAGGTACATTTTAAATTGATAGAAATTGTTAATCTGAGTGTACCTTAGGAGATAGACAAATGCTATTGTGGATTTTTATGTACACCTTTAAGACTTACAATTTTCGATCAAATTGTTTTGATGTAACTTCAACTTCAATTATATCTACATAAACCTTCCATAATACAACTTGGCAGATCCAGTGTTTTGGTGTCTATATTCCATACACAATATGTAACAGTCATTGTTTTTAAAAAAATGGTTTGATGCTATTATATTATATATGTATAGATGAAAGTGAAAGTAAATTCAGTGTGTTATACACTGAGATTTATTCTTAATCTTACAATCTATTGTTTCAGTCATAAGATAGATGTTCCAACACTATCACAGCGATACACAAATTTATACATACCATCAGATTTCTTTAATGCTTATGTTAAATGGGGAGAGACTTTCCCACCTCAAGCACCGTTCTCAATTAATAACCCTTGTACTTATCACATTATGAGCAAAGATGTGCCTAACCCAAATGCTAACGAGTCTATTTTAGAACCTCCAGATGCAGACTACAGATTTTCAGCTAAGGTAAGAAGAAAGAGATATATTTTATGAAGCTTATAAAGCCATAACATTCAGCACTCCAGTTCAATAAAAACTTATGCATACAATAATAATATTATTACCAATTCTTGCTCATTTGCAATAACACTTTTGTATTTCAATTAATGACTTAATTAAATGTATTATAATTTAGAATAACCTACAATTCATTAATTCTATTTTTTAGGTAATGTTGATCAGTATGCCGACATTGGAATCCTTGTATCAAAAATGTGGCCTTACAAAAGTTGATGAAAAGGATAAACGGTCTAGTAAAACACCTCTGCATCCTACACGCTTAATAAAATTTCTGGTTGGCCAAAAGGGTAAAGCGGGTGAAAACTTTGCTATAGGTGGACCTTGGAGTCCTTCCTTGGATGGTGAAAAGCCGGAAAGTGACCCTGGTGTACTAGTTAAAACAGCTATAAGAACTTGCAAAGCTTTAACTGGTATCGATCTCTCCAACTGTACACAGTGGTAAGTTTCCCTTGTATCCCAGTCTGGTAATTAATCAGTGTCCAGAAATCCATATTATTTGTGCTTTCATCCTAACTAAACTGACAGTATCTTCTTGTGAGATACATATTGTATATATTTTATATTAGTGTTAGTAAGTTGAAGGTGTAAAGGTAAGAGGACACTGTCGGTTTTGTGGTAGCATAAAATGATCATGGTACAGCACACGTAGACCTCGAGGGTCGCAAGTGGCAGAGCGATGTTCCCACTCGCACATGTGCGTCCATGCGGGAGCAGCTTGCAGTGAGTATGTAATAATGAAGTTACCCGTGACAGGTACCGAATGGTGGAGTTTTACTACTGGCGCGAAGGCGGCGGCAAGTCGAGACTCGAGTGTGTGGTGTTGTTCCTGCCCGACGTGTGGTCGGCTCAGCCGTCGCGGGTCGAATGGACGACGGTCCACGACCTCTATAGAGCGGCGTGCGACGCGGCTCTGCGCAGGCTGGACGGCGAGGAGGCGCCCTCCCCGCCGCCCGCCGCGGCCCCCGCGGCCCCGGCCTCCGCCCCCGCGTCTGCGCAGCCCCAGGACGACGCCTCGGACAAATCCCAAATTGTTTGTTCCCAGTTTTGTTTGGTTTTGATTCCGGCTGCGCTCGACTATATCCTGACAACGCCTGCTGCAACGATATGCTGACGGCAGATTTTTTATCTACGCATCATTTTAAGCCTCCTTCTTTAGTTTTGTTTTTAATTTTAAATTCATTAATACATAGTGCACCTAAGATTTTAAATTATTAGATTTTTGATCCATAAAATCGATTTTTTACTGCCTTGAGCCAGTTGTTGTGGTAAATGAGAAATAAAGCTTATGGGTGTATTTCAGGATACTGCCAATGCCAATGATAGTACGATAACAATAGATGAGAATGACGACGATGAGGACGGCAAGCCAGAACCTACACATTATTCTAAAATAGACCTCAGGACTATTAAAGTTGATCAACTCAGAGAAGAGTTACGAGCTCGTAATGTTAGCTGCAAAGGTATTTAGTTTGTCTTTTATGTACTCAAGAATATATCCTAAATTATATTTTAAATAAAACTAACTTTTCGGATTATTTCGCGGATTTATTTTGATTCATGGTCACGGGAGAGGCTGACTCTCCCGTGACCATGAATGCTGTAAAGCATTCGAAACGTCGGGAACCTAAAATCAAAATAAATCCGCGAAATAATCCGAAAAGATAGTTTTATTTAAAATGTCAAATATTCGCGTAAATCTAAGAAAGTATTATATATCCTACACTAATTAGTTTGTTCGTTCGTTACAAATTGAACTGTCGTTTTTCTGTGTATATCATACTTTGACGTCACGCTAAAAGCGCGCGAAAAGGCGGGCGTTTAAAGTAAATTTTTATACCTACAAAATTTTAGTTTTTTGGAGCTGGACATTTTTCTTACAATTATGTAAAGATAGTTGTTGTATAAAAAAACACACATATTCCCTATTTTGGGCACATACTTAATTATACTCAGACTGTAAGTAGTGAATTTTTCCTCAATGTTTTTCTTTTAATTCTAAATATTGGTAGTTATATATATATTTAGAATTAAAAGAAATATAGTTATATATATACAGATAGTATATCTGGCAGTGGTGGCCCAGTGGTAACGCGCTCGCTTGAGAAACCGAGTGAAGCGGGTTCAAATCCCGGGTCTCGCACCTCTGATATTTTCATGTGCGAATCATTTCTAACATGATTACCACTTGCCTTACGGTGAAGGAAAACATCGTGAAGAAACCTGCATGTCTGAGAGAACTTAGCAAGTTTTCGAAAGACATTTGAAGTCTGCCAACCCGCACTTGGCCAGCGCGGTGGACTAGGGCCTGATTCCCCTCGTACTGAAGGGAGGCCCGTGCCCAGCAGTGGGACGATAAAAAGGGCTTAATACATACAATACATTGATAGTTATGGGGTTCAGTAAATCATAAACTTTGTAACTGATAAATTAATGTTTTTGTCAGGTCTTCGTGCTCAATTAGTGTCCCGATTATCTAAACTTTTAAAAATTGAAGAAGGAAAAGAAAGTAAAAGTGATGAGGTTATGGAAGTTGAAGATGATGAGCAGGAAGAAAAGAAGGAAAAGATTGAGGAAGCAGAGACGGTAGAAAAAAGCAATGACCAAGATAAATCAGAGAAACGTAAGCTTAAACACTGTTTTTGCATTTCAAAAAAAAAACTAACATTGCTTTGGAAACATTTACTATTACAGTGAAATACTAATAAACATTTACATGACTCATTTGTATAATGTAACAAGTTTGATGATTTCATTAAAATATTAGTTTCTAACAAAATAACCCATAATAATAAAATAGCAAAATTTTAAGCTATTTAGGCATTAATATTTACTATAATAATGAATATTAATTTAACGATCAATATAAATTACAGCAAAAGAAGCAACAGTAGACATTTCAGATGATAAAGACGACAAGAGTGAGAAAAAAGATATTGTTGATGCAGATAAGAAAAAAGTAAAAGATGATAAGAAAGAAAAGAGTCAAGAGAAGAAAGATAAACCAAAAACAGAAAAAGAAATTGAAGAAGAAAAGAAGAGGGTAACTTTTTAAATTGATTTACCATGATTCAAACTGTAAATTTTTTGTACACTTTAGATCTTAAACTTACTTCTATTGATAGACTGTGTTTTAATAAGAGAGGCAAGAAGAGAATGAATTGAGAAGTATTTGTCCTGTCTCTAGTAAGAGAAAGTGTGTGTGAAGATGAGTGAGTTAGAGACATTATAAATTTATTTATTTGTTTGTGTTCTTTCACTATTGAAATTAAATGAATATAGTTTACTTAATACATATTAATTAAAACAAACAGAGCAGCATTTTGACTGACGATAAAAAATGAGGATATGTACAATTGGGATGTATGAATTATTATTCTATATTGTAAGTTACTCAATATGCGGATCGATTTTCATTTCTAATGGGCAATATTTCCACTTAACACAGAATAATAACTTTTAAAGTTAAAAACGAATTATATGATTGATGATTTTGATGATCTTTGATTTGTTGGATTTGTTTCCGCCCCGAATACCCGAATAACTGTTAAAATCTAAATTGGTTCAATAAATCCAGAGATTACCACCTACAACATCACAGACTCACAAACTTTACCTCTTTATAATATTAGTATAGATTAAAACGTACCTAGGGACGAACCCGAGCGAAGCGATGGTGTGTTGCTAGTAATAATTATATAAAACAATTGCAGATAGAAAAGGAAAAGCAAATATTAAAATCGAAGTTCGAGTTGCCGGCGTCCCCCCACATAATAGTGCATCCACACGGCGCGGCCAAGGGCGGCAAGTTCAGCTGCAGCGTGGCGACCCTGTCCCTGTTGTTGGACTACCGTATTACTGACAATAAGGAGCACAGCTTTGAGGTATTTATCATTTTTTATAACATACTAGCGAATCACCCTTTCTTCGCTTGGATTCGACCCTCGCTTGTTTTCTCATACAAACTTTCATCCCCATTCTCACCACCTTAAGGGATGATTTCCGGAATAAAAACTATTTCACTCACTCACTTTTCATATCATTAGATTTAAAAAATAATCTTATTATAGTAAAAAAAAAAAAATTTTAATTTTGTTCTGTACAAAACTTCCAAACAAAAACAAACACAAAAAAAAGAATTATCCAATTTGGTGCAGTCGATCCGAAATTATGCGTGTACATACATTTTGGTGATTCATTTTTATTTATATAGATTATTGATCTGTTTGCACATGTATGTGTGTGTGTGTATATCTGTATGTTTATTACTTCTCTACGCAGAAGGCTAAACGGATTTGGATGCAATTTTAATACACAGATAGATGTGGAGAAACACATAGGCTACTGTTAGGGATCTAAGGGCGTACCCAAGCGAAGCAACATTTATAAAGTTACTAGTTCAATGAATATTTTAATATCTGTCTGTGATTTTCAAATAGCTATTCTTTTTTTATATTTCTCAATAGTTTACCTCATTTGAAGTCTCAACAATTATATCTCTCTGTTAAGTTTTTTTATGGTGGAGAAAGTAAAGGAGTTCCCTTTCCCTCCATAAAAAGATAGGGGATAAGTAGTGGATAAAGATAGTTTTTTTATGGCATAACGTGTTGTGAAGGTTCAAGAGTAATAAATGTGTTGTATACTACCCGTATTTGTATTTTATTACTTCATAACTTGTATGTACATATGTGTATTATTTTAGGAAATAAATAAAGTATTGTTTTTTTTTGCTAATGGTAGTTAGTACCCTACTCATGATTGATGTTATAATATTTTTGATACTATTTATTATTTTTGTGTGTGGAGTCTTTGTTATTAAGGCTTTATGGTATATCTCAGTAGAAACTATATAATTCAGCTATAATTTATATATTTTTTCATTCTGTGTAATTGCTTGCATGATTCATTAATTAATATAATGTAACATAATATATAATTTTCTTTTAATACAGTTGTTCGTATTTGCGGAACTGTTCAATGAAATGCTAATGCGGGATTTTGGATTCTATGTCTATAAGACATTGTACACTTTGCCTGAAAAAGCAGAGGAAGTTAAGGAAAAGGACAAGAGTGTGGAGAAAGTTGAAAAGAAGGACGAGAAGAAACCTGAACCAGATAAGAAAGAAGAAAAGAAAGATGACAAAGAGAAAAAAGAAGAAAAGCGTGACTCGAGGAAGCGGGAAAGACGGGTTAGTAGAGTATGTTCATGGAAAAGAGTTCTTTTTAAGGCACAAACATTAACGAGTTACAGTAAAATGAATGTCATATAAAACCTCCGTGAAAAACCCGTGCCATATATTTATCAATATTTCAAAGAAAAATATGAAGCACTTTTTAAATTTAAGTTTTTACACAAATGAATAAAAATTTAAGTTTGTATGTATGGATATAATAATTATTTACATACATTCATAGGATTCCCGTAGCGACGACGAACGTAGCAGTTCCCCCAAACGCCGCAGTCGCGGGGTGGACCTGCCTCCGGACCCCTATTTGCTGCTCTCCCTCGTGTACTTCGACACGTCCCGAGGAGGCACCATCACTCGCAAAGACCTGCAGAACCTCTTTATGAGCCTAGGCCTGCAGCTGTCCAGGTCCCAGATTCGGAATATACTGGAGAAAGTGTGTATACGAGATAGCTTTAGTTACAAGTGAGTAGGTTTTGGTATTCATATTTGTTTGATATGGGATAATATTAGATGGGTATTTTTGGTTTGGAATTTTTTGTGGTTACATATTATGTTGTATCATGTTTATTGGAATATACGTATGTTGTACAGTTATATTACAAGTAATTTTTTTTTATAAAAAATTAAAAAATGAAAAAGTGCGTGTATCAATGTGTACGTACACGCGCAAGAAATGCAATTTCTATAGGTACTTTTTATGAAATTCAATTTATGTTTTAAATAATTACGACAGAAGAGATACAAAAAAAATTTTTTTTTATGTAATAAATAATAATAAATCAAATATTGTAATGATTCAACAAATTATATAGTCTAATAATACTTTCTTAGATTTACGCGAATGTTTGACATTATTAAATAAAACTATCTTTTCGGATTATTTCGCGGATTTATTCTGTGTGAGTCTCTCCCGTGACCATGGATGCTGTAAAGCATTCGAAACGTCGGGAACCAAAAATCAAAATAAATCCGCGAAATAATCCGAAAAGATAGTTTTATTTAATAGTCTAATAAAATAAATAATAATAAAGGGATGCAAATACTTTTGTAAAAAAATAATATAATGTATAATAAATTATTGACAGTTATTTCAAGTAAATATTTTTTTAACAATATTGATTTGATATCATTCCATCGCTGATTTAAAATTAAAAATAAATGAAAGAAGTATTTTTTTTATAAATATGTATCTATTTTTATTTAATTTATACTTTGATATATTCATATAATAGTTTAAACAATTTTTAATTGACTATTTATTCACATCCCCAACAACCGTTTCCGTTACAAATATCGTATCGCCAATTATTTTTTTCCCTCTCATGGCGCGACTAAGAAGGTTTCACTTCGAAATAGTACCTGAAGTGATTATTACAATTTTTGAAAGTACTCTCAATAATTTACACAATAAAATTAAACATTTATCTTCTATGTATATATATTTATTAACAGAAATAAGTGAATAAAAATACATAATTATTTTCTTCAGATCACTAATGCAAGCTATCAAGGACTTGGCCGCGGGCACTCCTGAGGCCATCCAGGACCTGCCGCTGGACAGCACCGTCACAAACAGCGAAGTACCGCCTCATGTTAGTATTATTATTATTATTAGTAAAAATTTCTCATTTAGTTCTCTTTCTGCAGTTTCAACTGTGAATGTACTATATTAACTCAGCGCTATCCAGTAGTATTAAAATTAATACAAAATTCAAATCATGAATCTATCAACGTCAGATGGATCAAATCATCTGATGGTTCTTTTGTTTTAGGATAAACGTCAACGATCGTCATTGTTATTCATATCGTATTCAGACAAAACAAACTATAGGTGGTTTATTTGTACTTGTATTATTATATAGTTTTATGTCATCTGTGTTAAAAAATTATAAAGATAAATAAAATTGAAGTGTCTGTTTGTAATATCAAAATAACAGCTTTTTATTAAATGCATATGAAAGTATATACAATGCTAATAAGGAAAAAAATATTTTTAAAGTTTTTGTCTTTGTTTGTTCCGGCTAAACGCTGCAACAGCTGGACTGATTTTGAGGTGGCTTTCTCTGGCAGATAGCTGATGTTATAAGGAGAAAGTTGGACTGCTTTTATTTTAGAAAAACAATTAGGGTCCTGCTCAAAAAAATTAAAACCCACGCAGGGACGTACCCGAGCGAAGCGAGGATGAGTCGCTAGTATTATATAATAATATATTTATATTTTATAATTAGATAGCTGAGCTAGAAGCAACCATAGCATCGGGCAACCGAGAATTACTACCAGTGTTTAACAGAAGAAACGAAAGTGAAAATTCAGATTCCACTGCAACAAAAGATGTTAGTGAAACTGGTGAGTTCTAAGAAACAAACTTTTGCCTTCTACTAGATAGCACACATTATCTTTATATATTGGAATAAAAATGTCTATTTTTTATTTCATGTAAAAAAAGTTATAAATATTATAGTTCCGCTGAGTTTATTATGGCTGAGCTATTTTTGACTTATGAGGCATTTTTTCTGAATTATTGGTAGACTGGTCAATTTTATCTCATTGGTTGAGTGTCTGAACTTGATAAAAATCCAGAAGTTCTGGAAAGTTTTAAGTTTCAGTTTTCTTTAATACATAACATAATTTTCTATTAAATTTTATACAAATTCGTTCAGTCATTTCAATGTGAAGGAGGATCAACCAGACACTCATATACATACAAACTTTTGCATATATAGTACTAGCGTTTTCCCGCAGCTCCGTCTGATTAGTATTACTATATCTAAAAATTATATAATATGTACTCAAACATAAAAGCTATATTATTGTAAAGTTCCATCAAAATTCGTTCAATATTAACTATAGTTCATTCGCGTTAAGAAAATAGTGAAGCATCGGTGTCCACCGGCCTGGTCACGCCCCCCGACCAATTAGATTGCATAAAATTATAAAGTCATATTTCACAATGACCAGTTGAAAGCAGACTTGAATATATTATTAATGACTTTATTTTGGTTTGAGAAAATTAAGTTGATTAATTATCTCAAATCAAAATTAAGTAATTATCATCTTAAATCGAGATTTGAGATAAATAAGATACATAATTAAGTTGATTTTTATCCATTAAACTTAATCTTTTGAAATATTGAATTCGAATTGAATTATTACTCCCACTTTGTATACACATTTATCTGCCGTTGCACTTGATGATTCACTATTTCCTTAACGCGAATGGACTATAGTTTTGCGTGAAATATCGACAAAAATACATCAATATACGAAGTAGTCTGATTTATAACATGTTTTTTCAATCGGTCAGGCATGGTGATGTACAAGTCGGTGGTGGTGGACGTGGGCGCGCTGGTGGGCGGCGCGGCGCGCTGGGCGGGTGAGCGCGCGCGGCTGGAGGCGGCGCTGGCGGACGCGGCGGCGGCGCTGCGGGTGGCGCGTGCCGCCGCCGCCTCCACGCAGCGCGCCGAGCGCGGCGCGCAGGTGCAGCTCCACGACGTGTGCGCCGCGCTCGCCGCCGCGCGCGCGCGTATCAGCTCGCTCACCGTTAGTATTGTTGTTTTGTTTTTGATTTAATAGACCTTATTATAACATTATGACAGTGATTTTTCAATTTAATGCTCATATTTGACGTTCTTATTCAGAGAAACTAAAACTTGTAAATTTTGACTTATTGTATGGTAGAGAATAGTTATTAATATAGTTCATAGCGGCCTCGCTTTTCGAAAATTTTCATTATTAATTGAAATAAAGACAAAATTCAGAAGCAAATTTATAATAAAATGCGCGACGGCACTTTTTCAAGCCGTGGATTAAATTAAGCTAATGAAATAAAAAATATATAATAATATCTCGTATGTAGTGGTTGAGTTTATAGCGGGTTCCTTAATTTGATATTATGTATTGGATTTCTACAAAAAAAATCCTGTTCAAAATCTTAAAAACTACTACAAACGTTCAGAATTAGCTGTAAATATATCCATCCTTAAAACATTAATATTATTAAGTAAAATTTATACCAGAATATAGGTCAGTTCAAAAGAAACGTAATTACATGTTTTTTTTAAATAATTTATCATAAAAACTTTACATATAGTGGAGGCGCTCCACTTGAATATAGTTACAATCTGTTCAGTGAAACTAATCATGTAATGTGATTATGTAATCCGCTATTTACTACGCATTATGTGAGTACATATTTAGTAGTATAACTATGTACTAATAATGAAGGCTAGTATTGCCCGCGGCTCCGCCCGCGTTCAGATGACCAAAAACCAAATTCTTAGGTTTTACATATTAGTATACTCTTACATTGCAGTTTTTGTATTTTTTCTCAGGAATGACACATTTTTCCGTGGTAGAAAGTATCCTATATGTTGACCCGGATCTATCACTAAATTTTATCAAAATCCCTCCAGTGGTTTTTCTGTGATGCATTAACAGACAGATAAAAATTCTAAAAACTATAGATTCAGCATCTGTATCGATAATAATGTCTATTTCAATCAGATTTTCCAAAAAATTTATTTAATGTACAGATTCGGCTTAGTTACAATTATATAATATTTATAGAAGTTGGCGAAAAAAAGTGTACACGTATAAGTAATTAGTATTTTTAAATGTAACATGATTATAAATCACTTATTACTCACTAACTTAGTTAAAAAAATAAAGCAAATCTTCAATAAGCCAAGTGGTAATAAGTAAGGCATAAAAATGGTAAAATCTCGGAACCCAGGGCCAGTCAATGAATCTGTATAACAAGTGTTTGACTGTATTATTAAAACCTCAAATAAAAATGTTAAAAAAAAAAAATTGGCCGATCTCGATTACAACAATTTTTATAAACAATTTACTGAAAAATGAAAGGCGCAAGGGGGAAAAAATGTTTACAGTAAAGATCTTAATTTTATATGTAATAAATTATGTTTGCAGAGTAAATTCAATGTTAATTTATTAGATTTTCGCAAAAAAATGATTTACAAAAGATAATTTAACCTTAACTATATCGATTATTGTTCATTATCGTCGTCGTCGTCGTGCATTTCGTTGATGTAGATTGTAGGTAAAGGATTAGTACAGCTATCACCATTGCATTCTAAGCAAGCTGCAGTGCAGTTTAATCCACTTTTCCTGCACCCACAAGATGCTCCACATCCTGTTTTGCATGCGCAAAAAATAATTTTTAGTAAAGATTCTGGAGCTGGTCGCTGCGTCATTGTTTGCGGTATCAATATTCCGCGTTCATTTTTCCAACCCCATTCTTCTGGTAATATTTCTTTTCCGAACCATGTTTGAACTTGTAAATATACTCTTTTGAAGTGTTCAAAAGCGGCATCTGCAGTAGGTGGTAAAGACGGCAGTTTAACGCAGGTATTTTTGGCAGTTGCTTTCAAAATCTCAATGCATTAAGATCTTTCATTTTTGGGGGGCATTATATAAAGCAAGAGTGCATGTAACACCAGCCTTAAAAATTTCATCGATGTCTTTGCATTCATTTTTAAAAACTGTCGCAGCATTTTGCAAGTCCGTTCGTTTCAGATTGCAGATTAACAGCAGTTTCAATTATTAGTCTGTCGGCATCAGTTCCATTGATTTTGTGCAGCTCTTCTTGTAACCATCAAATACGACATAAATGTTGTTTCCATAATTGTTATGTAGATATCTGACATAATGTTGACAAATTGTACCGAAATTTTCATCTAATTGCCACTTGCAACGATGTAATAACATCCCTCCATCAATGACGTAGGAAAATTTTCGTACATCGTTCACATCCACTGACACTTCTGGGAATATGTCATAAAATGTAGATTTTGTTGTTTTTCGTATTTCACCATTTTCAAAGAGAGCAAGAGGATAAGGAGCTAATTCATAAGTCAAGTAGTTTTTTAGTTCTTCATCAGATTTTTTTAATACGCATATACGCTGAAATAATAATAGCGGATCAATTGGAATAATATCATCATCCACTTTGATTTTGCTAGTGGATGCCAACAAAGGAATGATCTTGTCTTTCCTTGATAACTTAACTTCTTTGAAATTTATTCCATTAATTTTCTTCATTATTTTTAGACCTTGCTCAAAAGCTGCGTAGCAATTCACGTTTTCTTGCCCAGTTATTCCAGTTGCAATAGACAGTTAGAATGTACTATTCTGTTAGGGCCCGCGTTAACAACACCCAACAGCTGCTGTTGCCCCCTCTATTCCCCTCCCCACCCTTCATCGTTATACCTGCAGTCCCTTGAGACCCAAGATGAAGTTTGTAATAGTTCTTCTTTTTAAAATCTAATTTTACACTAATATAACTTAAGGAAAACTCCAAAAAATTAATAATTATTTATAATAATTATTAAAAAATTAAGATCGCACAAAATATTTTTTTAACATTTTTCTATATGCTATTAAAAACACATTGCCAAAGTTTATAAAAAGATTTATTGACTGGCCCTGGATTCCGAGGTATAAACCTTACGGCGCTCCACTAATAGAAGTAATTACAACTGCAAAAAATGCTAGAAACAGCGATGCGTCGGCCGCTCGAACTCAATACCATAGAATGCAGTACATTTTGTCATAGGCCTTTTAATAGTTTTTATATACGGCATTACAGACTTTTTGTTTGTATCTTTTTTTGAGATTTGTTTATTTTTTGTCATGATTTTTTTTTCTATTAGGTATGTAACTGGTAGTAGACTCATGACGTTCAGTAAAAAATTGTAATAATTTAATGCTGAATAAAATATTTTGATTTTTCAAAACTGCCGAATTTGTCACAAAGAGTTAATTACAGACTAGTTACGTTTTCTTTATAGGCGAGCTCCAAAATCTTCCATTCTGCTTTAAAAAGCATCCAAGCCAAGGTCGAAGCTGTAGTCAATATAAAGTATGAAGACGACGATGTTGTTGAAGTTGTCAACGGACCATCGAAGTAAGTCGCATGTATTAATGACAATCTGCACTTTATACAACTGTCTACATCAGCTGGTTTAAAATAGACCAAATGTCACGTAATTGTTTATTTCTATAATTTTAATTGGGCAAATCAATTTTTTTCGCATTAGTAGTCTTAACATAGCTAACAATTTTGACAAAAATCAAATTAAGACTCATTTTTTGTCCTTATTTCCACTGGATTTCTTATAAATTATAACAAACGTAAAAATACACCCTACAAATAGAAAATATTTTTTATAGGACAGAGAAGGATGAAAAGGATTCTAAAGAAGATAAAACTGACACAGAAAATAAAGAAAAAGACGACGAAGATAAAAGCAATGTCATAAAAGAAGAACCTTCAAAAGAAAACAAAGAGACTGATATTATTGCCACAGAAAATATGGACCTCGATGAAAAAGAATAGCTATATAAGTTATTATTATAACATTAAATATGTAGCAATTGCATTTTTTATGAGCAAAATGCAGTTGCTAATTTGAATTTAAGTCACAAAACGCATTCGTATTAAAAAATATTTCCTTGTTATTCATAAAGAAAATAACTGAACATACTTTATATTTTGGCAAATTTACTCAAGCAACTAGTTTTAACTTTTAATACATTCACAGTATGACTTGAAAAACAAATTTGTTTTAACTTTTGACCCACATTTTGAATATGTTTTCGCCTTTTGATTTCAATTAGTACAGATACTTAGTTTTCGACTTCGATAATTATTGTAAAACTTAAATTGTTTTAGTTCGCATTTTTTTATATAAAAGAAAATGTTCAAGTTTACAGCAATACATTTAAGAATATATATAAAAGGTTGTAGGATTTCATAAAATATACATTTATACTGACGAATATTACTTGCATATTGAGATATAAGATTATGCTAGTGGAGTATTTGAAGATGTGTGTTGAATAATTTGTATTTGAAGTCATTCAATTAGTTGTAAGTGGTGACAATAAATATGTCACTTATAGTATGTAATTTTATTTATCTCCTTTTTATAAATACGAAATTACAAAAACTACTTAAATCGACTATTTTTTATTGTGTATTTTGTAGCGAGTGTTTCTTAGTAAGATAATTAATTAACAAATCAAGCAGTGATTACGAGTGTTTTATGAATTCACAAAGGAAAAATATAATTAAAAATACCTTTGAGTTCAATATATTTTATTATACATACAAAAAATGGCATATATCATATAAATTGTCAAAAAAATATTTCAAGGTTTAGGCAAAAAGGAAAAAGAAACTTACAAGTTAATTTAAATAATTAAAATCTTAAGTATAAATAGGAATGCGGACAATAAACATATTTGGATATACAATAAAGAGCTATTTCAATCAAATGAAAATCATTAACGCTATTCTAGTTTGAAGCGATGATGTTTCAGTAAAAGTTGATCTTTACAAATACAAAACTCATACAAGAAATAATTCTAAAAAATTAATAATAATTTCACTTATTCTAATTATTGTTACTTTCATTGTCTGTAATCTACAATTAACTTAAAATACGATAGCAAAATTACTAACATCATATATTATATTCCCAAAAAATAAAAGTTATTTTCGATAGGGGTCCTAAAATTACAATATAATAAGTGTTCCGTTACATCCATTTGCATATAAAAATGTTACCAGTGAAATGATTCAGTAGATATAGTATACCCTACAATTTACACTGAAAAATAAATCTATTACACAATGAGCAGATTCATTTTCGAACCGTTTGAATTTGAGTGGCAAGAATTTTTTTGCCTTAAAATAATAAAAAAAAAACAATGTAGAATCATGCAAATTGTGACAGTTTTATAAATAAAGTAAAAAAGAGATTTTACCATACTAGTTATAATAAACTTCCTATATACATTTAGATACGAATGAACATGATGTAAATAACAACTAAGTCTAAATAAATACTATTTGGAGCAACAATTTGAAATCATTGATTTTGTGTACTCAAAAAAAAAATACATTTGTAAATTCATCAATATTTTATATATTGAATGACATTTTTAAAACAAAAAGACAATCTAAATAATCTATATCTTAATATTATAAAGAGAATAATTTTTTTTTTAAATGTTTTTGTAATGGTTAAATTAATGTGCTGAACCGATTTAGACAAAATTTTATATGAACATACTTTAAGACCCTGGGAAGGACATAGGATAGTTTTTATTCCGGAAATTATTCCTTAAGGGGCTGAGAAGGGGGATGAAAATTTATATTGGGAATCAATCATTTGAGTAAGGGATACAAAACTTATCAAAGCTATGTATACAGTATAATATCTATACTAATACATATAGTCTATCTATTCCATACTAACCGTTAAAACGTACAAGGGACGAACCCGAGCAAAGCGACGGTGAGTCTGCTAGTGCTAGATGAAGATAATAAAAGAGTTTTATTTTCATACAATAAGCATAAGAAATATGTGAACTATTTCTGTATACCTTACGGTGGGTTCACACGGCATTGTCCTGCACGTTTTTTAATATTCGAAAAATTTAACACTGAATGAACACCCGGCTGATTGTACGTTTAAAAAAACGTACAATCAGCCGGGTGTTCATATGGTAGATTTTCATTCGTGTAATAACGAATATCCGCAGTTTTTACACATTGTCATAGTGAGTAGACGTCAATGATGGATTCACGCTTGGTTGTACTTTCATATTGGTATCGAAGGTGCTAACGATTGCTATTCGATAAAAAACGTATGGTGTCTCGTGAAAGAGGCAGCTAAACCATGCGCCACTGCAAATCGAATAAGTTAAAGTTTATTCGATTTGCTTATCAATCCCGATGAGTATTCGATTAAACGTATAAACGGCGTACTATTTTTTGCAGTACAAAAGACGTGTGAACGGTTCGATGTACAATGTATGTGCCACTATGTATTCGTTAAGACGTATAATGCAAAAAAACGTACACGGGCGTAAACGTACAATGGCGTGTGAACCCAGTGTTAAATATTAATTGTGATTACGTTATACAATCCATCACATATAATAACATATAACTTATATAAAGGCTAATAAAGGGTGATACAAGGCAGACTCAGACGCAAGGCTCGACGTAGTTGCCGGGGAAGAGTCCCGTGACGCCGTCCATGACGCCCTCCCACCAACCATCGTCGTTTTTCTTCAACACGTAGATAACTGCGCTCTCTTGGAACGACAGCTCGTCTTCTTTGTCCGCGTAGTAGTCGTATATGGCTACCACTGAAACAAAATATAGTATTATCTATAGTTTATAGTAAAATATATTTAAATACTTTGTTTAAAGTGACGCTATTATTTTTATTAGTTATTATATCCTATGTTAATAAGAAAATATATTTAAGGAATAAATTCTAAGAGATTCTAGCTAATTTTCGAAAGACATGTAAAGTCTGTTAATCCGCACTTGACTAGCGCGGTGATATCCTCTTATTAAGGGGAGACCCGTGCCCAGCAGTGGGACATTGAGAAAAGTACTAAATACATAATGTATTGGGCATGAGAGAAAATGCAAACATAAAGCCAGTGATCTTTAAACTTTTTTAGTGAATAATTTTGAACATTCGTGTTGGTAACTTTCAAAAACAAGAAAGGTGGATAAATAACAACTTTTACAAATAATAATAATTAACAAAAATAACGGGGAAAATAGATCATTCGAGATATTATATATATTTTTTTAATTTATAATATGACTTTTCATTGATTAAACTTGGTTGCTACCTTTAGTGATCACAACGCAAGCTCTTAATTAAAATAATATTATTAATTTCGTATTATGTTTAATTAAAAATAAACAACATAATGAAAACAGTACCTTTTTCGATGTAGTTCTTAGGCACCCATCCAGGTAAATCTTCCTCGTCAGGCACGATGGCCGGCACAGCGTTTGTGTACTGAGTGCCCATCTTGTTCTGAAATATTTGTCAAATTTATATAACTTGTTATATGTTATATAGATTGGAAGCAGTAGGTGTAAAATTTACAAAAACATAGATATTTTTATATATTAACTAAACTACACATACATATATTCATGTCAAACAGTTCACTGTATAAATATATTTCGCCTAAATCGCGTAATCAGATGCTAGGCTCGAGATTTGGCGCGCCTAAGACCAGAGGTGCTTGGCTTGAAATTTGAACTCACTTCTCTTGATTTTCCAAGTGAGCACGTTATCACTGGGCTACCACAGGCTTATTGTTTTTAATTATTTTTAGTTTACTATATCTCCCCTAATATATGTTCACTTGACGTCACGGAGGGCTCAATAGCAGCGGGCAATCCAGCCGGGCGTGAAGCTAAGCCAGCCGCTTGGGAGGTATACCATGCGGATTGCTTTTAGTATTTCTTTAAAAGAGTGGACTTCGAGAGCAACTCTCTAGTTTTTTAGGTCTACCTCGGTAGGTCTGTCGTTGGGGCGTCGTGGTTGAGTGCGTAAGTAATTCTAAGACGCCCCATGAAGCCAGGAAGGTAACGTTTAGATGGTAGTAGGTACTGGCTTATGTGGTGAGTCCCACATAACCCCTTGTATCGTCTCTTAGCCGAAGGATGGCCATTGTTGGACATACGTCTCTGCCAAAGATTGCCATGACCGCCGGTCTTGTGCCATCCGCATCCAGTGGGTTCCAGCGTCTTTGATCAAGTCGTCGGTTCACCTTGTCAGAGGCTTACCCACCCTTTACCTTCCAATACGTGGGCGGCACTCGAGAACTCTTCGTCCCCAACGACCATCCGTGCGTACAGTGGCCTTTGATACACACACAGTGGTATGCAAAACAATACATTTGCCAACATAAAAATAATAACTGTTAGTCACTAACGGGGTCCAAGTTCCAACAAAAATAAAACACTCACTAGTACTGTAACACTAACCACTGTATTAATCTCTCAACTCTCAACAAACAAACTCAAAAAATAAAATTCTATTGACTCGGGTCATAGTATCGATGTGCGTCTTTAATTAAATAGAGCGAGTTAACTTACACGTAACGCCATCTATTGACAAATTATGACAACTAAACTAATTAGACAATAAGGCCGCGCGCACTTTGGACACGTTTTCGTCCGAACACGCACGAACGATACCGACCTTTCTAGTACTAAAGGCGCGCGCGGACTGGGTGCGGGTCAGTCCGTACTCCGTAGTTGTACGTATACGTGCGTGTAGTTCCAACATCAGAAAACAATCAGAACTTGTTGCGATTTAAGAAACACTTTCGTGCGTTGAAAATCAAAAATGGATGAAACCTACCTATTTGACGGAGAAAACGTATTCAATGCGCGCACCTAATTCGTCCTACGATCATACGATTAAGTACGATACAAATTCGTGTCCAGTGCGCGCGGCCTAGTAATAAACGTACCTGTATGTGTAGCGGCCGGCCGAAGGCGTCGGCGGCGAGCTCGTCGTCCAGCGGCGGCGGCGGCAGCGGCGGCGACACCGACCCGCCGCGCGCCGACCCGCCGCCCGACGCCGACGACGACGACGCGCGCTGCAGACAAACACACAATGTACACGTATTACGATGCACTGAATTGGCTGCAAAAAAATCGAAAAGATATAAAGAGTATCCTATGTCTTTCCCGGGGTCTCAAACTATCTTCTTACCAAATTTCATCTAAATCGTTTCTGTTGATCCACAGATTACCCCCTACAATGTCACAAACTCACAAACTTTACCTCTTTATAATATTATAATATAGACTAGCGACTTGGGTTCATTTCATGGGTTTTTTTTTTCGCGGAACCAATAATTAAACAAATAATTCTTTTTCTAAAATAAAAGTAGCCTTATAACATCAGCTACCTGCCAGTGAAAATGCCGTCAAAATCCAGCCAGCTACTAATCGTCCAGCCGTTTCGGAGATTAGCCGGAACAAAAAGACCAACAAAAATTAAAAAAAAAATCATATAGATTTAGTAAAAAGCTGTTATTTGGATATTACAAAAAGACACTTCAATTTTATTTATCAATAAACATACTTTTATACTGGCGTGTGTGTCTGTGTGTAAATTTATTACTCCTTACTGATAAGACGAATTTGGATGAAATTCAACACAAAGGCTATTACAATTGCGACCAATACCGTAGGAATAGGAATTACCGAAAATAATGGGGAATAAAATATTAATTAATTCGAAATTAACGATAGTGGAAACAATTTCATCCAAAATAAGCAAGTTTTAAAGGTAACCCCTAGTAAGTTAGAAATAAGTTATATTGTATTCATCATCATCATCAATCATGATAAATCAAAAGGATCAAACATGATAGACCGACAGACATGTAGACATATAGTACACATATATTAAAATATCACTTACATGTCCAGGCAGGCTCATGGAGTGCTGGCTGTGCTCTCCATCAGAACCAATAAGTGGAGACGGTGGAGCTGAAATATAAATATTATTCATTAATATTTTCTCAAGTTTACTTGTGTTGATGAAAAACAAACATTGCCTTAAGTTCATTAAAATAAATCATTAATTTTCTAACTCTACTAAAATTGTCCCCTGTTTTGATAGTTTAATTTATCTATACTAAAATATTTATATACTAGCATAGCCCGCGGCTCCGCCCACGTTCTGATGACCAAAAACCAAATTCTTAGGTTTAACATATTAGTATACTCCTTCATTACAGTTTTAGTATTTTTTCTCGATGTGAGGTATATTTCCGCTGTAAAAAGTATCCTATATGTTGACCGGAATAATCAGCAATGACCATACCAAATTTCATCAAAATCCGTCCAGTTGTTTTTCTGTGATGCGGTAACAGACAGACAGACAGACAAAAATTCTAAAAACTATAGATTCGGCCTCCGTATCGATAATAATGTCTATTAATCAATAAGAGTTTCCAAAAAATATTTTATGTACAGATTTGACTCAGAATTTTATTATATGTATAGATGACAAAGGCTTATTTTTGATGACATGGGGAAAGGGAGATCTGGATGGTGATATAATCAATTAAAATTTAATAGGTTTTGATTTGTCAAATCATTGTATTCAGAACACACATGACTTTTTTTTGCTTATTATATGTATTTCGAAGATTACATTCTAGTTCTCCTAGTTTCATGAAAATTAAAAGATTATTGTAGAAATTAAAAATAAAAACCAAGAAAAAATTAAAAACCAAGTTTTTTGAAAAAGTTATTGTAAAAAGTTTCATCTACAAAAGTTGTAGATTTTTGCTTGAACTACAACTTTTGTTGAAAACATTTTTCGATAGAACGTCACAGTGAGCCAGAAATTAAAAAAAAACTATTTTCAACGCTTTGCGACCATCCAACTCTCGGGGCATCGGGCATTTTACGAATTTCCATTCCTTATATACCTGCTAATGCTATGTTTTTTTTAAAACAATAAAACTTCAGGTTTTTTTTCCCTTAAAAATAAACAGATTCCAAACGTCGTAATGTTTACGTAAGCATACGAGGGGGGAGTAAGAGCTTTGCTTACCTTTATTGTCAAGGCGGAGTTAGAGGTTAATAGTTACTAAAATTCTGCTTACGTAATACTTGAATTATCATTTTTTTTATACAACTTACGTGGCATGCTCGAATGAAGATCCTGTTGGGAGTAGTTGGATGGGGATTGGTGTTGATTTGGGTGAACCATGCCCACCTGTAAATTTAATAATTATTAAATTATGAATTAAGTGTAATTAACTTTACTATGGACTTGAATTTACTAACCACTTATTTTTACTTTGTTGTAGGTCCAAAGTTTATGAAGATTTACTCCTTTTTTAATATATTATAACATAATATGGCATAATGATCTAATTTTAACGACAAATCTCCTTCATGTCTTTTCCATTCTATGTGACATTGGTGAAGTACTGTGCTCAACTGGCACGCTTTGACACCATTAAAAATTGAATTGAATTCATATTTGGTGGTCGGTTAAGTCGTAGCAGTACCTACACATGTTAAAGTTTACTAGAATGTACCTTTCAGCACCTTGCTACCTTTGCATTTCTATTTTGAATTATTTGCATCAAGATTTTTTTCTTGCAATTTATTAAAGAAAATATTGTAGTTTTTAAATATCCAGTATCTTGCCAGATACATTGCAAAATAAAGCCAGATACAAGATCCGCTCATCTCTAATGATAATGAGTAAAACAGTAAAACCTACTTGTGGTTGTGTAACCGGCAGTGTAGAGTAACCTGGTGGACGGCGCGGGTAGTTGGGCGCGTAGTGCGAAGGCACCTGAGGCGGCGCCACCGCAGGCGGCGTACGATACTCGCGGGAAGACTTGCCTACAGAATGAATGTACATGTATACATTAAATATCTCTAAATGAAGTATTAGTAATACTTTCTAAGACTGAATATTTGACATTTTAAAATAAACTATCTATTCGAATTTTTTCACAGATACTTTGATTTTTGCCAAATGCTTTACAAGCAATCATTCTCACTGTCTCTTCTGTATAAATCGGCAAAATATAATTATAATGTTGGAATACCATTAACATTTTTTTTTATATAAATACTAGCAGTACCAGCGGCTTTGCCCGCGTCCAAACTTCCGATCGCTAACAAAATTTACATATACAAAAAATATCATTAAAATCGTCCCTGCCATTCAAGAGATGATCAGTGGCACACATGACATGGCAACATTAATTTACCAAGTGTTCCTCGTCCAAGAGTGCCAGTATTAGCAGCAGATGCTGAACGTACAACAGCTGGAGGAGTAGGTGGCTTTGTTGTTGGTGCAGGAAGAGGACCAGCTCCTGGTGCAGATCCTGACCGACGGCCTCGTGGTGTTCCTGTGCTGCCATTGTTCCAGCGTGCTCCATGCCCAATATCATCAAGAGCTTGAAAATTTATAAATATTCAATAAGTAGCAATCCTTTGGTTGTATAATATTTTAAATATGTTTCAATCAATTATTTTAATGAAATTATTCAATATAATTGCATATATGTATAAATTATGCAAAGGTCAGATTTTACGATGGCCAAGCTAATCTAAAAATATCTGTAACTTATCTGAGCAGTCAAGAATTCTTGAATTCTTACTTTGACTCTATATACATTTATGATAAATATTTAGAATGTTTATAAGAAAATAAAATTACCAGAATAATCAATTCCTTTTCGCACATATTTTATTGGCTTCTCTGGATTTGCTGGTGCAATAATTTTATATTGCCGATTAGTCACTTTATTTGCAGTTAGGACTCCTATTTCCCTTCTAGCTACTTTCTCTTTATGTATAGCAACTGTTTGTGCAATGTGGTTCATTTGACCTTCCATTTCTGCCAATTGCATAGTCTGTAATTCTAGAAGTTGGAGGAAGTTATATGCAAGGGTATTGATTTGATAAGCAACGCTAGCCAATGATTGTGTTGTATAGTTCTTGGTGCTTTCTAAAGCAAGTCTCTTATTTTCAGATTGAAAGTAATTGGCTTCACAATATTCTGCCACTCTTTCAAGATTTGTATGACTGTCAGTGAGGTGGTTTCGTCCTTCTGGAATGTCGGTTTGGAGCAAAGCTGCCAGTTCTGCCATTTTGAAGCTAAAAGAAAGTAGCGAATTAGTTAATCATCGGAACAGTTATATGTTGCGTAAAAAGATGTAAAAAATACATTTGGCCGTCGTTAAAAGAATATTGCATTATTATAATTCATATCCTGTACATGAACACTGATTGGTTGAATGAGGTACGTTCATTAGTTTTATCGAATTAAAATTAATGATTTAATAAAAACTATTAACAACCTAAGTAGCATTTCAATTACGGCTAATAAAAATACCTTGTTGTTTAACTATTTTGAGAATTAATAATATTTTGCCGAAAAACTTTAAAGTACCTTTTAAAACAAACACCCCACCCACGACACCTGTCAACTATACTGTCACTATACTGTCAGCTATAAAGTATAAAGAAACAGATAAAGATAAGTAGTTATGTTTATCCATAGATTATTAAATCTACAGTAATCCACAGATTAGTTACTATAGAATTTAACGTGTGTCTCTATCTTAAGGTAAGACTGTTTTTTATCCTCCGTGGTTTTCTAATGACGACTTACTATAACAAACAATTATTTAAAAACCAATAATCATTGTCTATATAAGTTTTCATAAAACCCAAAAGTAAAAGTAAGATAGTTATGTAATGTGCGAGTTAAAAAAAGAAAGAAGTAAATAGTTAAAGGTAGATATTAAAAGTTAAAGTAACGTTGGTATAATCCATAAAAAAATACATAGTCTTACCATAAATGTTGTTACAAAGGAAATAACATGTTTTCTATTGCACGTAATGTTCATTACTATTACAGTGTGTTAATTTATTACATTAATATAAAACCACCAAACCATATATATAAAATTTATTCGAAGTGGTCTCCATTGGCTGCAATACAGTCCTTTAAACGTTGAGGCCAGTTATCAATAGAAGCATGCACTCTTTTCTTGGGAAAGTTATACACTGCCAATCGTATGGATTGTTTTATGAACTCCAAATTATCATGGCATTTAGAGCAAGCCATACTCTTTAAAACTGACTATGATTGTGATTTATGAAACATATTCCAGCGGATTAATATCGGGACTAGATGACGGCCAGTCTTCAGCTCTGATGAAGTCCGGAACGCGGATTTCTAACCAAGATTGCGTGGATCGAACTTTATGACCCATCGCCGAGTCTTGCTCAAAGGACCATTCTTTGTTATTGAACATGGTGTTGTTAAGGGCTTAACTACCTTCTCAAGAATGGTATCTTGATACACTTGTGCCGATGTTTTGATACCCTTTTCACAAAAATATGGCTCAGTCACTCCTTCATAGCTAACACCCCACCAAACCATCACTGAAGTCGGATAATGCCCACGTTGTACTCTGTTGACTAATTGGGAATCTTCCTTAGAACTTTGAGCATAAATACGGTCATTTTGTTTGTTAATCCCTCTACAACCGCGGCGTTACAGTTAACAAATTATAGATTTCTTAGAAATTTAATTAATTTCTTACAAATTTACCTGGAGGTGTTAAAATATTCTGTGACCTCCCTTTGCGTACCGTTTAAGTAGTTGTTTGGATTTTACCAACCTTTTCTTTTTTTAATAATCAGTTAAGAAATGACCAGTGCGTGTCTTATAGGCTGCAAGTCCTAAGTCATCCGTTAAAATACGCGAAATGGTTCTAGGTGCTATCTTCATCTCCCGAGATGAAATCTTTTGCTTTCGGACAGGATTTCTTTGAATTCTTTACCTTACTGCTTTGATCGCTTTCAGTCACAAACAGAGGAGGTTTCATTGTACCTATCAATAGCCCGGTACACAAACGTTTGACTAATACCAAGCGTATGGAGAGTTTTAAAAATTATATTTGGCTCCATACCTATTTTGTGCAATGCAATCACAGCGATTCGGGTCTCTTTATCACCCCACTCCATTTTAATGTCACAAAATATTTTACAATGTATTGGCGCGAAAATGAGAAAACACAATGAACAATCACATAAAAATGACAGATTCCAAATTCAAATGTAATATTTTGTTTATATTTAATTGTAACAGTATTTATGGTCAGATATTCAGAACTGAGACTATGTATAAAACAATTTAACTGTGAAGCAGAAAAGCCTAATATGATGTTTGCCCAACAGAATAATTATTTAGACATTGAAATTTCGTGAAAACTACGCTTAATATTAATTGTATTACATTTTAATATATTATTGTTTTACATGTACAAAATTGGGTTTAATATAATATTTACAACAAAAACAAATCTTTCCCTCGGGAACCGTACATTTGCCCGGGATAAAAAGTAGCGTATGTGTTATTCTGATATGTGAGCTATATTGTTCTAAAGTTTGACTAAAATTCATTCAGTGAAAGAGTATCAAACATTCATACATATATCACAAACTTTCGCATTTATTAGGTATATTAGTAAGAAGTAGATAAAGATATACTTACCTAGTATAAGTTTCAAGTGTAATAAAAGCAATTTTATTCATTTTTATCTATTTTAATTGTACATCACTAGAGAAAACAAAGCTAGCTTGCGTTCTTTATGAACATTTAATATAGAGGCAGTTTTAGCAACTTTAACATACTAACTAATACAATGAGATAGATAATAATAATATGTCAATGTCTAGAATATAATATAAGATACTTAGGTCTTAGAGACCTTGTAACAATTTGTTTAATTTAAATTAATCAAATTACTGTACTAATGCTTAGACTAATATTTTAAACAACACAAAACACTTTTCGTGTTTTATAATAAGTCAATTCGATTGCTCAACATTTTTCTTTGGTAGTTATGGTCATAATTTACGTACTACTTCAAGTGGGTTATAAGTCAAGGGAGTTATAAGTTTAACATGTGTATCTGTCTGTGTCTGGCATCAAACAGATAAACCGATTTTAATTTAGTTTTTTTGTTTAAAAGGTGGCTTGATCGAGAGCGTTTTTAGCTAGGTATAAATGAAGAAAATCCGCTAAGCCGTTTAAGAAGCTATCAGCTCTTTTCCAGATGGTAGAAGGATATGAACAACTTCTACAGATCTAATCGATTTGAAACTTGGTATCCCGTTACTTCAATAATATTGCAATTATATGGTAACCTAGGCCTGATGATGATCTGATGAATCACTATTCCTGAGACATCGCGATTCCAATAGTTAAAGAAGCCGCCCTCAACATAATATGCATACATTTCCGCACCACCGGTGGGGTAGCATTTGGTACGTTTTTTTAAAATGTTTTCCCGCTACCTAGATATATCCCAAGATGCATTGTGTGCTTAGCTTTATTAGACAATGACCCTGTTAAATAAAAATGGTACTATTGGTGATGAATATTTGTAGATTTTGGGAAACATTTAATCTGACTTTAAATGTTCTGTTAATAATATTCTATTACAAGAAACGTATTTAATTTCATTTTAGAATGTAGGTCTTTCATGTTGATGTATTTAAAAACATAAGCGAGGTATCGAAAATTTTTATTCTATAAGCTTTCAATGCCTATATGCGAGTGCTTTCGTTCAATTTGAGAAAGACTGTCCTATATTATTATATGGGTCTTATTTCAAAAGATGAGCAATTTGTTATATTAGCCTATATTATATAATAACGTTATCTCTCAGCTCCGCCTGCGTAGTTCAATTATGTATGACTTTATCTTTATAAATTACTAGCGACTCACCCTCGCTTCGCTTCGTTCGTCCCTAGCTTGCTTCCCCATACAAACTTTCATCCCCATTTTCACCCCCTTAAGGGACGATTTCCGGGATAAAAAGTATCCTATGTCCTTCCCAGGGTCTCAAACTATGTTCTTACCAAATTTCATCTAAATTGGTTCAGTAGATCCAGAGATTACCACCCCCCCTCATCCCTTTACAACGTCACAAACTCACAAATTCACAAACTCACAAACTTTACCTATTTATAATATTAGTATAGATTATTATGTTTTCTATGAGTTACTTTGATAATAAGAATTATTGTTACATCGAAATTCGTGGAACAGTGAAAGGATTTCAAACAGACTTCCATATATCCTCACAGACTTTCTCATTTATTATGTTAGTAGGAATATTATTATGCAATCTTACAATACAACCCTTATTTAGATTGGATGATTGGCTGTTAGATTTGAAGTACACTACCTATCCCTACAAGTCACTCAGCTATAAATGATAATGTATACTTCTACACAAACCGATCAGTAGGTACCAAGTTATATCTAGAGATTACCTCTTACGCCTTATCTCACAAATATTATCTTTGTCTGGGTTTTCTTTTAAATTATATCTGTTATGATGTAATATATCTGAGGAGGCCCAGTTCCATCTCCGTCTGGTAGATTATTTTGTTTTAACAATCCTGATTTTTTATAGAAAATATTTAGTCTATATTATGTGCAGTATTTTATATTTACACTCCACATTTATGGAGCCCTACAAGGTTGTCTTTTATCCGAGGTCCGTAAACTATAAAACACACAAATAGGTACATAAATATATGCTATACACACGACTAAATAGTAATAGCACACAATAAACTGCCCTCAATCTATTGCACAGTTTAGTTTATTAGCAAGTTTTTTAATATTTTGCTGAATTATTATTGTAAATGAAAAATAATCTAAAATTTTGTAAAAAGGAAAAAAAAAAATTATTTTTAACGCATAGTTTTTTAACCCAGGTTATTTTTAATCCAGGTGTTATAAGTTTGACGTCGATGTCTGTCTGTCAGTGTGTGTGTGTGTGTCTGTCTATGGCATCGTAGCTCTCAAACAGATGGACCGATTTCGATGCGATTTTTTTCATTTGAAAGGCCGTGTAAGAGTATCAGCTCTTTTCCAAATTGATGTAAGGCATTTTGGCGTATGATTACTCGATTAAGTGTATCACGCGTGCCCGTGTAATCGTTAAGTGATAATTAATTTGCGTAGGGTGCTTATTAATTTTTTTATTTATTCGCAATCTATGCCATAGAGACAGGTTTTATAATTTGCAACCACCCCGCAAGGTTGTGGTAAAGTCATCGTTTAGATAAAACTCACAAAAAAACAATGCATAGGTATTATGCACCTACATACTCGTTTAAAGTCGACTTTTAACGGAGAAGAGAATCATACAATGACAAGTCTCTAAACTCTACCTTTTCATAATGATAGACGCAAAGATATTTCAAGCTACTTCGACTATTGGGTTGAAAGTAGAAGCTTTAATATACATATATTTACATGTACTCATTTATCTTCTTAAGTACATAGAGTTAATGACAATGAAAAGAGTTAATGACAATAGTACCTAATAATATATGATAATAATAGACAATAGGCAAGGAGTTACATATTTATATAGTACTAGCAGAACCTGCGGCTTCACTCGCGCTAAAACTACAAAAACATCTCTAAAAAGGTAGTTTCATACAAACTTTCATCCCCTATTTTACACCCTTATAGGATGAATTTCGAAAAATGCTAAAACGCGTATCTATTTAATTTTATCGAAGAGCATTAATACCAAGTTTCAAGTAATTCTGATCAGTGATCATAAAGATGTTTTTGAATTTTATTAAAATAAAATTCGTTAAAACGTGTTTTCTTGTGAGAATTAGATAATCTCCCGCGGTAAAAACTAGCCCATGTCCAGCCTTCCAACTATCTCCACACAAAAAATCACGCCAACAATCAACAAACAAACAAACAAACGCACTTTCACATTTATAATATTAGTATGGATATGGATATTGTACAAACGTCTATATTTTATCTGAATAATTTGTCTGTAGTTATGTAGGTGGTGTATGACCATTCATATCTAGCAATTTTTACGAATCATAAAGATAGAGAAAGTAATAATTATTACACAGGTTACAACAATTAGTGAAGTTAAAAGTCAATGTACAGAAATTTCTATAGGTTTTTCATTATTTCCTTGACAATTTTTTACTTGTAGCTCAAAGGAATTAGTAAATAATAAATTAAACTAAAATCTGACGTAAACAAACTTTATTTACTCACGAGTACATTCGTCACTTAGCTCTTAAAATATTATTCTAATTTCTTCATCTTATGAACGAGTAGGAAATGGAGAGCAGTTCGTCTGTAACTTTCAGCAGAGTAAGGCTGCACGCGGGATCGAGCAGTCGTTGTTATTGTGACCGCGAAATTTTTTATATCGTACAACTTACGAGTTTTTTATTGTTACTTCTCACATTTATTGTTTAATCTTATATTATTTATCGTCCTCATTATGTTTACAAATAACATTTTCAAGGTGTTATATTTCCGGGATCTGGCATGGCGCCATTTGAAATAAACAGATGCGCTTTTTGATATCTCGTCGAATTTAATTATTAATAGTACAATGTTAATTGATATTTCATTAGGACTCGAAAAATAAGTGTAAATTGTATTACTATGTGTTATAACCTTACAATTTGGTATTTGAACACGTGAGTTAATACAAAATTTATCACTGCGTATTATATAGAGACTGTAGATCATAATATCAAGGCGATATAAATAAGTATAATGTGTATGTAAATTATTCGGAACGCTAAAGAAACCTTGGAACTTACTCAATTTGTGCTGTTCTTGTAAAGAATCATTCAATTAGCTGAAATGAAGTGAAGTGTCGAAAATGAGTGTGGAAATAAATCAAGTCTCTCAGGAGAGTGGACTCAGTCCGCCCCAAACTGTTAACAAACAGAGAACAATAAACAGATGTACCCCCAAAAAGTCATTAGAGTCGAAATTATGGGATTTGTTACAGCCTGTGGCTAGACTGTGGGGTCTTATAACTGCTATAGGTATGTATTACGCTAAATTCCAATAAATCTAAGCAATCTAAAAAAAACCTGTTTGCACAATGAATGGAATATTTTTCTATCTACCTACTTAGTTTTTCTTGAAGAAATAATATTAAATATAATTAATTAATGTCAGACTATTACTTATCTATCCAATTTTATGATAAATTCGTGTAAAGAATATTAAAGGTAAACATTGGCAATAAATATTCTAGTAAGGTACACATTATGACGTGTAGATAAATATATTGGATGAAGTAGGATACAAAAGATAAGATTTTTTTTTTGAAATATTAGAACTTTAGCAGTATTATACATAAATCTAATAGTTTTTTTTTATTAAATAGTTTCACGTTGTCGTCCTTAGCCGGTACGGAACTCTTACTTCGTATTGCGGTCTATTTCCGTCCTTCGACAACGCATGTGTTGTGCTTCACAAGTCACAACACCGATCTTTTTTACGGGTGTAAGCGTACGCGGGCTACTTGTCTATCTGTCCATTTCCTCTACCTTTGAGCGTGCTGTCATTTTTGATCCTTAATAGGTAATCAGTAGAAGTTTTTACAGAATAAATTATCTATGGTATTATGTCAAATATAGTAACAACACATCGCACATCGTACATACTTTTTATTATATTGACTTTTATTCTTCTACGTATGTTGTAGGTATATTAATTTCTATGATCGATTACGAACGTTAAAAATATTTCTTGTATTGTTATTTCTTATTTTTATTTATGTTAATTATTTGTTATTATAGCGGTAATAGACTTACATACTTTGTGAAAATTTCAACTCTCTACCTATTATGGTTCATGAGATACAGCCCTTTGACAGACGGACGGACGGACAGCGGAGTCTTAGTAATAAGGTTACGTTGGCACACTTCGGGTACGGAACCCTAAAAACGAAAAATAATTGGAAAGGACAGACATCGAATTTTGGCGGATAATAGAACTTACCGAAACTATTTCACAGAATTCATTTAATCTGTATAAAAATTTGGCTCATAATAAATAACTTATATTAAAGGAAAACGTATTAGAGTTACCAACGTTTTCTCTGTAAATACGTACTAAAACTAACATTTTTCATAATGCGAATTCCACATACCTCTAAAAATTATCTCGCTATTTTATTATCATCTTAATCTATCTCTCAATTTAGTTATTACAATTACCTTTATATATTTGTATGTACATAATAAGATCAGTACACAATATACAATTCAACTGTTTCATTATTTGGTAGTGTATAGTGTGGAGTAGTAGATAAAGCCAAATTCGTGTCATGTCCCACTCATGGCATGACAACTTCTATTGTTCGCAGTAATGAGTGGCGCAGGCGCACAACTGACTGTTCTGGGATATGAAGTGGCACCGGGGTTGATGTGAGTTGTTATTTTATTGTTCGTAAGTACGAAGAGGACTAATTCATATAAAGTATACAATTAGATTTATATACAAGTGTTAGTAGAAACGTGTTGTTTTTTAATTAATATATTATGTATATCTATATGATTTTGTATTATAGAGCTTAAGTTATTCTACTTAAAGCATTATTTTAAATAGGCATGTCTGGAAAAACTTTGACGTATTTCCCAAAAACATATAATAAACATCAAAAACTTCAAAATGAGTCGTAAACGTAAGAGGATGAAAATCAGGAAAATAAATGCCTAACACTTACACCCGATGAAAACTCGCACAAAAGAGGCCAATATGCGCGTTTTATGTCTTTCTCATTTCTTTTTCCTAAAAAGAAAACCCTTTTTTAGTTTAGGTTTTATGTACTTTTTTGCTTACAATATATGATTCAAGGAAAAATATTAGCAAAAAAAATATTAGATATATGTGTTTTTTGTGTTGTTGTATTGTTTTGTAAAATATAATTTAACAAACCATACTTTAAAGCGTTTTTAATTACTATAAACTAATATATTTGTCACAGAGTTGGAGCGGCTCTAGTATTTTTACTAGAGACTATGTGGGTGATAGCTTTATTTGTGGATTTGCTGTGTCGTCGAGGTGAATACTCTATGAAGCTGAGATGCTGGGATTTTATGAGGTGGTCGTGTGGGAGAGCAAGGGCTCCGTTCTACGCGTGTGCTGCTACAGCCATACTCTTTGCTAACCTCACGATATTAGCTACGGTTTCAGGTAATTAATATGTCCTTATTCTACTGTATAAGCGTGATAAAATCTTTCTATTCATACAATTGTTTTTATAGTCTTGTATAATATGATCTCAATTGAACTGTGACTGATAGATTAATAATAAACAAAAGTATTAAATAAAGTTTTGCGTACAATAGCTATGGTCAAGTAGGTATCCAAAAAACTAGTACCTAGTGATTAATGATAGTAGTGTGAGTAGAAGGTAATTTATTTTTTTATTTAAATAAGAATTAATATACTACTTCGATGGCGTTACATTATTGTATTATTAAAGGTACTCGTACCTACTAATTTTCACATAGGCATATTAATTTTATTAGTAGGTAAGTATATATGTAAAAAAATACCTTTATAGGTACATCTATGGACAGATTTTCACATAACGTGTTGTATTGTTAAAAAAACTTTTGATTGTGTTTATATATACAAACTAGCATTGCCCGCGGCTCCGCTCGCGTTCAGGTGACCAAAAACCAAATACTTAGGTTTTACATATTAGTATACTCTCACAATGTAGTTTCGTATTTTTTTTCAGAAATAGTGCTCCCCTACCTATACTATACCTATAATACTATCCCGCGCTAAAAAGTATCCTAAATGTTGACCCGGATAACCAGCTATCATCCTACCAAATTTCATCAAAATCCCTCCAGTGGTTTTTCCGTGATGCGGTAACAGACAGACAGACAGACAAAAATTCTAAAAACTATAGATTCGGCCTCTGTATCGATAATAATGTCTATTTCTATAAGATTTTCAAAAAAATATTTAATGTACAGATTTGACTCAGAATTTTATTATGTACATATAGATATCGATAAATTTACTGTGTATTTGGTAAAAAAGATGAACTGTTTACGTTGTTTACTTCACATTTAAAGTTTCCGTCTCATGTGCGGCTTGTGATTCTCATCACGTCTGTCATCTTCTTGTGCAAAATATCTAATGTACATAAGTATATTTTATCTTTACTTCTTTTTCGAGATTTTTGTTGTTCATACAAAATAAATTATACTTACGAGTACATATAAAATGGTCTGACTTTTGTTATGTTTTCTTAAATTAATTATTGGCTCAATCAATCCATATAAAATGAACAAAGGAAAGTGTCAGATTAAATTTAATTAGATAAAATTATTTTAAGAGGTACCCGTGTAAGAGCGGCAAAATTTATAACAATACGGCAAAAGCCATGTTAATAACACTGCAGTTTGGACCAAACTATTTGGTAGGAATAATTAAACACCAAGCTACACTAAATCTTGTTTCTAACAGTTACAAGTACTTTAATATCATAATTAACACTCTTTAACGCGACCACTAGTAGCCAACACGTTTCTAGGTCGAAATTGTTCTCTTAACCGGTTAAAAGGCTCTTCTAGTTACATCTACATTACCAACGGGCTGACTCTAACAAAAATTATACATTATTTATTCATTACTGAAGAAAATTATAGTGTATGCTTCTTTTGAATAATGCTTACCAAAGGCTCAATGTATGTACTATTAGTATAGTATCTATACTAATAGTATAAAGAGGTAAAGTTTGTGATCTTGTGAGTTTGTGAGTTTGTGACGTTGTAGGGGGTAATCTTTGAATCTATCGAACCGATTTTCAAAATTCTTTTACCAATAGAAAGCCACATTCTTTCTGAGTGTCATAGGCTATATATTAACCCGAAAAATGAAAAGGCTTTTTCGTGGTAGTCGGATTTGCAAAGTAAGTCGGAGAAAAAACGGTCGAACGAAAACGTTTCTTACGAACGCTGCCTTAACGATGAGAGATATATGATTATGTTCTAGAGAAAAGTTGTAGAACTTAATAATGCCTACAAAAAAGTCAACGACAGCATATGTCTAACTTTTATATTTACGTCACAAAAAGTAGTTTTTTTGGTCATGTTTATTGGTCATATTATCAACAATTATGAATTCTTATCAAAATAAGTAAATTTATCGTCTAAAATGTTTAAAACAAAAGACTTTTCCCTTTTACTGCGTATAATTGGGACAAATGGTTAAAGAGATAATACAACATATTCGTAGGTATGGACGAACTTGAGCGAGCTGATGTCTGTTTTTTTGTTTGTACGGGCTAATCTCCGAATCTATTGGACCGATTTAAATGAAATTTTGCATGGTGGTACCTTATATCCCCAGGCTATATCTTAGATACTTTTCATCCCGGAAAAATAAAGAGTTCCCGTGGGATAGTTAAAAAACTATAACAACTTATACAGCTTAGTACACAAAAACTACTGATTGGATTTTAATGAAACTTCACAATAATATATATATATATATATATATATATATATATATATATAATTCATACATCAGAATAACAAATAGGTTACTGTTTATCCCGGAAAATATACTGTTCCCGTGGGATAGATGTTTTTATTTATTTGTAACGTATTATGTACACAACATAGACCCCAAAACAATAGTCATTAAAAAATTGTCTGTTTGTCTGTTTGCCTGTATGTCTGTTTGTCTGTTTTTGCGTGAGCGTTTCACGGCAAAAGTAACGTACCGATTTCAACGTGGTGAAGTGATAACTTATTACTCGAGTCAACATTTAGGAACCTTTTGTATGTATGTATGTATGTATTTATGTATGTATGTATTCAGCCCTTTTTAACGTCCCACTGCTGGGCACGGGCCTCCCTTCAGTACGAGGGGGATCAGGCCATAGTCCACCACGGCCACACCACCAAAACTATAGTAACTTATACAGCTACACAACAACTTATGCACCTAATTTAGTAAAATTTGACATGCTGATACCTTATATTGCAGGTCAAACAACAGGTTACTTATTTTTATCCCGTAAAAATGAACGGTTCCCGTGGGATAGATCTGTTTGTGCTTTTCTAGAGGTGAACCCGAGCGAAGCGAGGGTGAGCCGCTAGTAATTAATAAAAGTTAATACAATTTTCATGCATTTAACATTAGAATGACAGAGTTTCAGACAAATTTTCCATCCCTTGTTTTACCCCCTTAGGGGAACAATTTCGCAAAATTCGTCATTTAATTTCTTAAATCATCTAGCTTACTACATCACATCAATACTATTAGTTTACTATATTTAATACATAAATGTGAAGTTTATATGATGATAATATAACAAAAAAATTATAATATTAAATGGATTATCAGAAACGACTTTATACGGTAATTCTCTAAAAGGTCGCCTTAACTAGTCCAAAACATACAAAAATAAATTATCCGGGATTTGTTACAAGCCAGACTTCGCTAAGATAATATTTAAAAAAAGACTTAATATGTAGGGTAGGTAATAGGTATAATAAATACATATAAAGTACAAGTATCGCATGCGATATTCACCTTAAAAGGTAATGCATTTAGCAATAACAACTTTGTAACATAGCATAACAATAATAATTACTGTACCACTGCTGAATCTTAATAAATAAAATAAAAAGTATGAGTATGTAGGTACTGAAATTTAAAAAGGACATGGAGGAAATATAAGGTAAATATAAGGTAATATAAGGTATCATATTGCCGGTCAAACAACAGGTTACTTTTTATCCCGAAAAAATGAACGGTTCCCGTGGGATAGATCTGTTTATGCTTTTCTAGAGGTGAACCCGAGCGAAGCGAGGGTGAGCTGCTAATATACTATATATCTATTAGATGAAAATAATTATGGAAAGAAAGTCAAGAAAAACATGAGAAATAAAAATTGATTATAAAATTGTTTTATTTGACTAAATCAATCTAAAGGGCAATTAAAAGCTTTTCCTAATCATGTTTATTGATATGTTGACGCTAGAAAACATATAAACTTTTAAATTATTATTCAATTTAACAAGTTCATATTTACTGAAACTTAAGAAAATTGAAATTATTATTTAAATATTTTACCCTATTAAATTGAGCACTAATAGTGAACTGCAATGAGACTAGGTTGTAATATGAAGTAAGTCAAAGGAACTGAGTTTCAAACTTCAACAATTTACGCAAAATATGTAGCTTATTTCAATTAGAAAATTGTTATATCAGCAATAGTAGCTAAGATGGGTTTGACGGATTCTTAGAGGTTAAACGTGACTTGTGATCCATAGGGATTGAAAATGTCAATAATAATTTGCATTATTATCACCGATATTACTCGCCCGAATATTCAAAGCAAGATAAATATTTCTTTATTGTGTTACTATTGGTAGGTAAATAGTTAGAAACTTAAAGATTTCAAAATTTATACCTTTGAAGTATTTCTCAATAATATTACTTTTATTGAATGATAGGTATGAGAGTATATTCGATTTTACATGTTTTAATTATGGTTATAATTTTTTTGTAATATATGCTTTTTATACTACAACTAGAAGTATCTACCCGCGGCTTCGCCCGCGTTCAAAATTCCGATCGCTACCAAACTTCACACGCTGGGCTAATCTGAAGATTTCCTGAAAATTTCATCATAATCGTTTTAGCCCTCTTGGAGTCCATAGGGAACATACATATTACACCTCGATTTTTATATACATAGATTACATAGACATCTTTATCTATTGTTTTCTGTTTTCGACCTTGGATAATATACCAGTTCTTCAATTACGATTTATAATTTTATGCTTAATGCAAAGTCAAGATATTATCAGATAATATAATTAACTAATTTAAATACGAAAAATATATAATTGTATAAAACAATTAAGACGAACAATACTCATATTAATTAAGAAATCTCATTAGGAATAATTTTTGCAGGTGGCATGTTACTCGTGTTAGCCGCATTGCGAGCCACCGTGCCGTTTTCCCCCTACGCGACCCACGGTCCTCACTCGCCCCGCGCGGGCAGCACTTTGCTCAGTCAGCACGACTCTAACTTACCGGACGTGTACTACAATGCAGCGCAATCTGCTGACGACAGGTTTGTACAATCGATGTGTTATGGCTTTTGTAATTTCTATTTCTCTTCACTTTACGGATACTTTTGAGTGTTTTGGTATGTTTGACTTATCTATCTATACTCACTATTATAAAGAGGAAAGATTTGTATTTTTGTATGTTTGTAACGAATAAACTCAAAAACTACTGCACCGATTTAGTTTGAGACCCCGGGAAGGACATAGGATAGTTTTATTCTGGAAATCATCCCTTAAGGGGGTGAAAATATGGATGTAAGTTTGTATGGGGAATCAATAAAGTAAATATTGTTATACTCGTATGTTTACTGTAATATTAGAAGTTATTAAAATATCTAAATGAATCTATGTAAATAAAAACTAGAGGACGACCAAACATTGACCGAATGAGTTATAGGGGAAAAAATAGAAAAGTTTCAGGGAATTTAAAAAATGATGGAGAAACTGTATTATAAGAACTCAAAGATAATAAACTAAGTTTAGGAAGAATAACGTCTATCGGTCAGCTAGTATAATTGAATTATTTATAATATATAATTATAATATATAATTTTTCGATAATATAATTTTCACATACAATCAATATAGAATTTTTACATAGGTTGATTTTAATGTAATCATTTTTATTTTTAGGTGCGAAGAAATGACAGAGCGTGTTAAGACTCCAGAGAGATCTAGAACTGGGACACCTAAACCACGCCTTCTTGACCTATGACCCTATTCATAGATTTCTGATGTTCTAAAATAAAACAATTAAAGAAATCGAAGCGCGGAATCGAAGTAAATAGTTTTATTTCACATGTGTAACCAGACATTGAACTCAAACGAGGAAAATTTCTGTGAGAAAACGAATAAAGTTGAACCTACTTTTTGTACATGCAGCCATTGTTACTTTATGTGCACTTTGAATTTAACTTTAGTGAAAAATGAAAATAGTAGCGTTTTAATATAATACTGAATGTAAAGATACTTCATCTTTATGCTATTGCCAATTCTTATTGTATACGTAATTATCAAAATGATGGCTAATTTTATTTCTTAAAAAGGAGACATAAAATAGCAAGTGTTTCGTGATTTTTGTTATTTTTGTTATGTACTTACTTTGATTCATTTGAAATAAATAAAGCTTATTAAAATAATTTTAATTTGAAAGAAAAAGTGTTTACGAATGATTAAGTTTTAGGTCATATTTAAGGGAAGAAGGTTAAAAAAAATTATGGTCGAATATATTCGAATGTTTATTTTCTACTTTTATATGTGCTTACAAACTGTGATAGCATAGAATACTTAGTTACATAATATGATAAGTTTAGGTAAAGATAATTATTTATGAGTGTATGTAATAAAGACTAAATTTAAATATTCTTTTCGTTTTAATTATTTTATCATTTACTTAAATCTGCTTTTGACTTAGGACGGCATAATAAGAGTAGGCCGCTTTCATTATCTGAAAAAAAAATAATTAAAGTTGGTTTTTTATGCAAATAGGTACATGTACATATTAAAATTTGAAAAAAGTATAAATGTTTTGCCTTAATTAAGAATTTACTTAAACTTCTAAATTATTTTAATATTTATTGTCAAATAGAAAACATGCTTAGTTAAGGTTGGTTGACCTTAAAAATCGGATGATAATTTCACCCTTTAGTTAAAGATTAGTTGTCACAATCATAAATATTTTTACTCCATATTTCTCTTTCTTTCAGATTATTTATTTTACTTATGCTATGAGATCTTGCTTCTTGCCAAATTTCACGATTCTAAGTCAATGAAAAATACCCTATAGGTTTTGATTTATATGCATGTGACACTACGCAGTACTATAAAGACGTAATTTTTAAAAAGTATTTTTAAAAAGTAAATTTATTTTTAAAAATCGTAGTTTTAAAAACGTTAAATAAAAAGCGTGGTAATTTTATACAGACAAACTGTGATTCTATAATTGTTCCTTTTTTCTTTTGAGATGGTAGAGCTTGAAAAAATAAAATAGGCATTTATTATTATGAATATTTACATTAAATATATTATTGGCTTTTCTTAGTGCAAATAAAATGCCAGTTCCTACAACACTATACCTATAAAGAAAGACACATTTATCCTTCATATGAGGAAAATGACGTTGAATACAAGTGTAAAATATGAAACAAGACTTTTATTATAATATAGTATTTTAACTAAAAGATTTAAATCCTTATTCTATTTATTTCATTTATATATTTTTTTAATTTAATATGTACCTAATGCAAAATATGTTTTTAAAGCTACAGTAATACGGGTAATTATTATTTATGACCTTGTCCACATGACCTATTGAACCTGTTACATTTTATAGGAAAATAAAAGAAATCTGTATCTCGCCACATCACCTGACGCCTCCGTATCGGGTCCTACTCAAGCTAAGAATTATCCAAGTGTATACACAAAAAATCATCAAAATCGTTCAAGCCGTTTAAAAGGAGAAAATTATGAACATACACACACTGGCATTTATAGGCTAACCCTCGCTTAATAAAAGAGATCTATCCCACGGGAACCTTACATTTTTCCGGGATATGAAGTAGCCTATGTTATTATGGTATATTATGTAGTTATGTTATTCTGATGTGTGATCTATATTATTCTAAAGTTTCATTTAAAACTATTCAGTAGTGTGACGTGAAAGAGTAACATACATCCAGACATCCATACATCCTCACAAACTCTCGCATTTATAATGTTAGTAGGATAATATTAATATGATTGCGCTCAGCCATACAATACAATTACATTGTATTATACAATGTATCTATAGACTGACTGCAGCAAGGATGAATAAATAATATGTATAGTAAAGGGAAAGCCTCATTCCTCAGCCTCATATTTTATAAAAATATACTATGCTAGTAATTTATGAGAGTAGGTATTATTACTTACTAAATCATATAGAACATTGCTTGTAAAATTCTCCTAACTGTTGATTGGGAGACAATTGTAACAATTAACGGTATGATGCATATGTTATGTGGACATGAGACGGCATGTGCGAAATATATATAACAAGAATAATAGCTTGTTACTATATTTTTATATGTTCTAGGTCTAATAATGATAATTTAAATATGAAAATAAATCCCAAGTTAAATAAGATTTTTATGGTAGCAGTTGTTAAACAAAATGGAAACAGTACAAAAACTGATGACGATTATTTATAATAACAGATCCAAGCGTAAAGGCCGTTTCAACAAAAAGTGTATTTTTAATGTCATAGCGGAGACAACTATATCCATACTATTATTATCATTGTGAAAGTATGTTTGTTTGTTTGTCTGTCTTTCTTTCACGTTGAAACGGAGATACAGATTGGCGTGATTTTTTGTGTGCAGATAGCATTTAGCATACGCGGCTCCGCCCGCGTTTAGATGACCAAAAACCAAATTTTTAGGTTTTACATATTAGTATACTTTTACTTTGCAGTTTTTGTATTTTTTCTCAGACATGAGTAAAAGGTATCCTATATGTTGGCCCGGATAGTCAGCTATCACCATACCAAATTTCATCAAAAACGCTCCTGTGGGTTTTCTGTGATGCGGTGTAACAGACAGACAGACAAAAATTCTAAAAACTATAGATTCGGCCTCTGTATCGATAATAATGTTTATTACAATAAGATTTTCCAAAAAAATATCTAATGTACAGATTCGGCTTGGTTACAATTTTATTATATGTATAGATTTTTAAAATTCTTGCGAAAAGCTTACTGCGAGAAAGCAACGGTTGTCCATATAAGCAAAACCAGCCGCAGTCAAGTGTTGTGGTCGCTGGGCTCTCCTCATAGTTACTACCAGCATTCGACGAAGGCGCGGTGGCATGCGCTCCCATTTACACTGCATTACTGCATCTGATACTAGACTAGCCTTTAAAAAGTTTTTTAGACATATGAAGAAAGTTGAAATTAAACTTGTTTCGCACGGCTTTTTATAGGAATACCACAAGAGCAATGTATTGATACAAATCTTTAAAGCACTATTAAAGTACTATTTAAAGCATACCTGGTGCGTTAGTTCACTTCCAGTAAAACATTGAATAGCAAGCTGTATGATCATTGCAACAAAGAAGGCTAGTGACGTCACCAAACGAATTGACTTGAAACTGGATGCATCTTTCTGTAAATATGGTTATCATTAGGAAATTCGTGAGCTATAAAACATGAAATTGAATAGTTAATACTAGCGACTCACTCTTGCTGTGCTCGTGTTCGTCCCTCGGTTGATTCCCCATACAAACTTTCATCCCCATTTTCACTCCCTGAAGGGATAATTTCCGGGATAAAAGGTATCCTATATGCTTCCTAGGGTCTCAAACTATCTTTTTACCAAATTTCATCTAAATCGGTTTAGTAGATCCAGAGATTACCCCCTACAACGTCACAAACTCACAATTCACAAACTTTAGCTCTTTATAACATTAGTATAGACTAGCACTGCCCGCGGCTCCGCCCGCGTTAAGATGACCAAAAACCAAATTCTTAGGTTTTACATATCAGTATACTCTTACATTGCAGTTTTTATATTTTTTCTCAGAAATGAGATATTTTCCTGCGGTAAAAAGTATCCTATATGTTGACCCGGATAACCAGCTATCACCATACCAAATTTCATCAAAATCGCTCCAGTGGTTTTTCTGTGATGCGGTGTAACAGACAGACAGACAAAAATTCTAAAAATTATAGATTCGGACTCTGTATCGATAATAATGTCTATTTCAATTAGATTTTCCAAAAAATATTTAATGTACAGATTCGACTTAGTTACAATTTTATTATACGTACAGATAAGTATTTACGTGTAAGATATAAAAAGTGTTAAAAGATGGAATAATCGGGAAGAACTTTCATAGGGAAATTCATTTTAATTGTATGACATTAAATAGGCTTTTGGCAGCCTTCCATAAACGAATAAGTAGGTACTTAAACAAAATTTCTATATAGACGTTAACAGATTATGTAAATGTTCAATAAATAAACCGAACTAACTTGTCGAAGTTAAAATATCAGGCCGTAAAATAATTTTAACAACTCTTTAGACCATTTAATCTACATTTAAATTGGTGTAATTTTGTAGAACAATTTGCCTGAGAAGTAATGCTCTAGTGATATATATGTAAATAATAAATAAAAAAGTATTTCTGCTGTTTTATCTCACCGAAACTTGCACCATTACCACGCAAATTGCTGCCATACTTGAGAGGAGTTGAGTCATAAAGCCATAGGAATAAGTCGACGCGAATTTCTCCACGCAACTGGAAGAAAAAGCCTGACTGAATGCTCGAGATTTATCGAAAAATATGAATGAACTCTTTCATTTTGAACGGAGGTGAATATGAGAGGTATAGATTATGTTGATTTAGTCGAGAAAAAAGTAACCGAGTGACAATATTGGGGCTATAATCCTTTGATATTGGGCAAGTTATATCCCACCAAAGTACATATGATAAAAGGACCTATATCATAAATATTTTTGCGACAAAGTATTTTTTCATCTATTTGTTTTTATTTATTTTCTTATATATTACTAGCTTTTGCTTGAAGCTTCAACCGCGTAGGTTATTTATGTATAATTTCCTCGTTTCTAGCGTTATGACTGTGATTTTAGAAATATATTAACCTTCTTCAATAAATACATAGACTGTAGAATACAATATTTATTTTCCGGATTGGAGGGGTAAGCCCAAAAAAACAAACACAAGCAAGTATAAAATAATCAATTAAATATATTTTTAATTAAATATAACCACAAATTTGAATTCATAATTAAAGTACAGGGAAAAGATACTTATTTTTAAAATGAAACGAGATATACACGTTTTAATGTAAATAGTATCTACTGTTAGAATATTTCCAAGTCATTACGGTATTTTTACTAAATATCTCAAAATTAGAAGCACTTACTATAAAGATTAACGTAAAGTTTCATTATCAATAGTTTTTAGTAAAAGATATTTTCAGGAAGCAAAGTTTGTCGTTGGCTGGCACGGGTTGAGTTTCAAGCTAATTTATATCGTTCTTTATTGCAATTTAAGGGTCGTTGCCTTTATACTGTTTGGTGCCAGAAGTTTAATTCAACTTATGTTCTGTGTCTTCTTCTGATAATGAAATAGCTGAGTCCGCGTTTATAAAAAATATCTTATAAACTATACACTACTAATTAACTTATCGATAGTATAATTTCGCTATATCTCTGAAGATAATTAAGAATGTTGAAATTAATTTAAATATATAGATAATTTAGTAAAACGAAATTATAATAAATTATAATTTCATTTTAAAACAATATAAATTACTTTAACCACTAAATTATGAAACTATCAAAAAGTAATCATTTGAGCTATCCTCGAAAATCACCAGTTCCATTATTTATATCCTGGCTTCATCAACAGATCAGCAATTTTTTTAAAAAAAGCACACACTTATGAAAGATTCAAATCGATACTACAATTAAAAGCAAGTTGACTTCATAGATTTCACTATAGGCAAGAGTGAAAAAATACCTACTAGTTTAATTTTTTTAAGTCACTCTGATTCAGCTTCCAACAATTTATTTAAATAAATTTAATAGGTACATCTAAATTACCTCAAGTTTAAGTATGCTCCATAAATCAAGGGTTGATTAAAAAAAAAATTTTCTGAGAAGTAAAATATAAAAATTCTGTTATATCATTTGATAAATCAATTGAAATGTACGAAGTCTATATGTTACTTTACTTTTAATTGTGATGAACACTGATTCTTGTATGACAATCGAAAATGTCCGTCGCATTGCATTGATTTAGGGCAGACAGCGAAATTATTCTTACTTATATGCATATTGAGTTAATGAAACTACTTATGAGTGTATGATATAGACCAGTGTTGTCATTTTTGATCACAGCTTTTTAATTTTAGATAGGTCCAAAATGACTGTAGAGACGTACTGAAGGGAACTGCAAATGACGATGGGCAAGTCCGCTGTTATATAAACGGCACTCGTAAATTGCTCCAGTTTACTTCTTTTTCATGCTTTCGCTTGTCTGTATATAGGTTATTATAAACAGGAGCTTCGAATGAAAGCTTTCGGGTCTAGGCTTTGTTCCAATTGAATTCTTGCATCAATGAATTTCTATTATCATTAAAATGGCGAAGGTGCATTAAGAATATGACCAATACTTTTATTAATTTAATTTAACATTTCATAAAAATTATTTAATTTTTTTATGTTAAACTTCAATTTCATGAAATTCATCGACTAATAAACAAAAAATCTCTTAAAGTGTTATTAATATTTAAATTTTAAATCTATCGCTTTTTTATATTTATAAAAAAAAAATCCGTTTTCTACATACCTAATTAGCATTTGATGTTGGCGAAAGCAATTTCTTAACGTGTTTTCCAAGGCATTTTCGATATCTTTTTCCGTACAATATGCTCTTGCTAGTCTTTCTTGATAGCTTACTAGATCCGAGTCAGGAAGATCGTCAATTGTAACTGTTTCACTACTATGTTGTATGTTTTCAGTTAAATGGGCAATTGTGCGATCGTAAGCAGTCGTTAAAGCTTCCTGGAGTGTAGCAAATTGTGAACTCATATGCAGTATAATAGAACCAATAAACGTATCAATAGTCATCACAATGTGGCCCGTCCAAAGCAATCCAATAGTTTCCAGTAAAAATGTAGAGATATAAGATACATCATCTTGATAGTTCCATGGAATGTATATAGGCTGAGGAAGTGTTCTCGGTGGCTTCATAGCAGAGTCATTGAGTAGAGCGATTTCAGCTTTCCACCGTAGATCCTGGACGATACCATAAACATTGGTGTTTCCTATTGTTATCCATCCAAAAATAACAAATGTAGCCGTTAAAATCTTTGTCACCCGAATGGTTTTTCGGTTTTTATCATTATTTTGATAAAATCGCTGAAGTCGTATTTCTAAAGTACGCACTATATCTTGAATATCATCGTTTTTAAAAAGAAATATATAAAGTTTTATGATGGTGAGGTCGTGCGTGATGACAAATGAGAGGCTGAACATGAATCGGTCGAGATCTTTTTCGCCTATAAAAGGATCAATTGACTCTAATCCTACAAAACAGGCCACCCAAATAAATTCAGTTATTACAGCGTAGTATAAGTACCAGCCAGGAAAGTTTCTGGTGTCATTCTCATCTGGATGGTGCCACCATCCTAATCCTAGAAAGCGAAGTAAATTATAATGTATGCCAAAATATCTTGTTGGTGCACTGCGACTCTGAGCACTGGACATTTTACTTCACTTAACTTCGTACAGTCCGCTCCCTACGCAGTGTCCAACAGACTTGTTGTGATTGAGTCATTACGTCATAGATATTACTCCGTTAACGTACGAACCTGAAGTACAAGCGATAGCATCTGTATTTTCTTTAATTTTGTTTATTAGTAATAAATGACAAAATATAATAGAAGAAAATTAACAAAACGCCACTCACGTTGATATAAAAATCGATAAGAGTAGCTTCAAGTTTACACTCAAAAGTAAACATACGCTTTCACTAATAACTGCAGACATGAACATTAGTTTGCTTAAACGTTGGAAAAACTAAGTTTTTAATGATCATGGCACCATTTTAGAATATTTAATATTTAGAAAGAACAAAATGTTATTATGACATAGAAATATTGAGTAAAACGTGACAGTGCTGTGGATAATTCGGTATCTATTACCTTAACTACTTTTAATAAAATGTTATGTATAACAAGGGTACTGTTTTAAATACTAGTAATACCTAGTACTTAAGAATTTTATTATATTTACATATAATACTTTCTTAGATTTACGCGAATGTTTGACATTATTAAATAAAAACTATCTTTTCGGATTATTTCGCGGATTTATTTTGATTTTTGGTTCCCGACGTTTCGAATGCTTTACAGCATCCATGGTCACGGGAGAGACTATATTTACATACTTAAGATTCCGTAAGCAAAATGTCATTTTTTTTCGGATACTTTTGGTGCTATACCTACAGCTGAAAATTGGAAGACATCTGCCTCTAGTAAGTCGCTGGAAAATGGTGTATTTATTTATTTCTCTTAATTAAAAATAAAAAGATAGGGAAGGTGTACCACTCGATAATGGTAATGGATGATAGGTAGGCTCCCGGTAGGTGAGTGGACTTAACAATCATGGTATGAAAATCTAATAAGCAGCTAATATATTTATTTATTTTGAATAACAACCAGATCGGCTATGAAAAGATATGTATCATACATGTAACACTTTTTTGTACAAAAAAACACGTTGCTTATTGATATTATAAATAATACGATATATATTTTAAAAATAAGAAAACCTAAATCTGCCAGAAAATAAACTAACTAGGGATTATTTTGAATATAGCAAAGACCTATTATTTAATGTATTAATTTAATGTTATGTACGGCTCAAAATTATATACAAGTCGCGTAATAATAACAGGCTTTCACCATCAACTTGAAAGGTGTAATTTTCTTTGAATATTTAATTTAAGAATCAACTGACCTATTGTACTTTGTAGTTGATTTATACATAATACATATAATAAAATTCTGAGTTGAATTTGTAAATTAAAATATTTATTGGAAAATATTATTGAAAGGGTCATTATTAACCGATACAGAGGCCGAATCTATAGTTTTTAGAATTTTTGTCTGTCTGTCTGTCTGGGAACTCATCACGAGAAAACCACTCGACAAATTATGATGAAATTTGGTATGATGATAGCTGGTTATCCAGGTAATAATTTTAATTAGCCCACAGGGGATAAAAAAGGAAGGCTTGTTGCAAGCTCTTGGAAAGTGGTGACACCAGAAGTGAGGAAATATATTTTGAGGTGAAAACAAGATCTGTTCCTCTCAATTACCTTCTTTTTTATTTAGAACTAGCATTGCCCGCGGCTCCGCCCGCGTTTATATGACCATAAACTAAATTTTTAGGTTTTATATATTAGTATACTCGTATTAGTATATTAGTTGACCCGGATAACCAGCTATTACCATACCAAACTTCTTCAAAATCCCTCCAGTGATTTTTCTGTGATGCGGTCACAGACAGACAGACAAAAATTCTTAAAACTATAGGTTCGGCATCTGTTAGCGATAACAATGTGTATTTCATTAAAATTTTCCAAAAAATATTTAAAGCACAGATACTGCTTCACTAAATTTTAATGTATCTATAGGTGTAACTAATTTATAAAGCCAAATAGATTGTTTTTTGATAATTTAAACACGGGCGGGGCCGCGGGTAATTTAGTAGTAATTCTAATAAAATCATAGAAAGGTCGAATTAGCATATTCAATTTTTTGGAATTAAAACTACGTATTTTAAAGACACACGGCGACATTTATTGACAAATATCTAAATAATACAAAAATAAATTTTTATAAAAATAATTTTTCTAATGAATAAAATAGTGCTATTGATATACCTTTTCAAGATTAGCTATTTTTAATAGTTTTTGACATATTTAACTTGCTAAAATCTATACCTAGAGTATCATCGTTTTTTTATTCTAACCAGTTTTTGTATTTTTTCTCAGAAATGAGATATTTTTCTGCGGTAAAAAGTATCCTTTATGTTGACCCGGATAATCAGCTATGACTATACCAAATTTCATCAAAATCCGTCCAGTAGTTGTTCTGTGATGAAGTAACAGACAGACAGACAGATAGACAGAAAAAAATTCTAAAAACTATAGATTCGGCCTCTGTATCGGTAATAATGTCTATTTCAATAAGCTTTTCTAAAAAATATTTAATGTACAGATTTGACTTAGTTAGAATTTTATTATATGTATAGATAGATTGAGCGCCAGAGGTAAGAGCACGATGACAAGAGCAGATAGAAGTAGTCAATCATAATGGGGAAACCCGTTCATGAGCATTTACGCAATGCTATAATCAAATCGGTGCAATCATCTATCTTTCCACCCTTTGACTACTATAGGATTATGCGCCCGAGTCCTACCAGTTTGGGAGGCTCTTCTAGTGGAAAGTGTGTCATCATCCGTATGTAAACAAAATGGTTTTGTAAATGATATAATTTGATAGGTATACTGACTTCTAATGAGAAATATAAATATTAAAAATTATAACTATTAAACTATAACTATTAAACTCGCTTTTATAACTACTAAACAACATGTGCTGCTGCATATTATAAGACTCTCGAAAGTTTGAATCTGCCAAGATACTTATTTCCGTCTCGAAATAGGTACTTAGCAGATTGGTGTTGTAAGTTACTGGTATTCGAAATTGGTTAGGAGGATATTAATACATAATAGTATATGTATGCATTATGTATTGCTTGTTCTGATATATTAATCAACGCGCAGACTAATGTTTTGTACTTAAAAGCGCATTTCGACATCGTATTATTATATTTTAAATCGATGGTAACATAAAAATAATGACATAATTTACATACGAAATTATATTTTTACGATCAATGAAATGAATCTCGAATAATATTCTTTAATATCAATCATCAAGAAAGGTCTAGTTATATTTTTTGATGTTGCTGCTCTGCGCAATCTCTATAAGGCACGTACGTATTATACTCGTATATTATGTACTCTAGACAAACAAAAACTAATCTATCCCACGGAGATCGTACATTTTTTCGGAAAAGCAGCTTATTTGTTATTCTGATTTATGAACTATATTGTCGTAAAGTTCCATTAAAATGCAGTTAGTAGTTTTTGTGTACTAAGCTATATAAGTTACTATATTTTTTAACTATCCCACGGGAAGTCTTAAATTTAACGAGATGAACAGTATTTCAAATGTTGACCGGGGATATAAGGTACCACCATGCAAAATTTCATTTAAATCGGTCCAACAGTTTCGGAGATTAGCCCGTACAAACAGACAAACAGACAGAAAAACAAAAAAATTGAAAAAATCTGTTTTTGTTCTATTTCTCTTCTTACATCCCCCTGACACAGTTTTCAACCGACTTCAAAAAGGAGGAGGTTCTCAATTCGACTGTATTTTTTTTGTTTTTTTTTTTTTATGTTTGTTACCTCAGAACTTCGTCATTTATTAACCGATTTGGACAATTTTTGTTTTGTTTGAAAGGGTATACTTCCAGATTGGTCCCATTTAAATTTCAAAAAAAATACCACCCCTAAGGGTGGAAAAATAGCTAATAATGAATTTAACCTACTTCTAATTGTCATATTGACTTGAAACTTTGCAAGGGTTTCTATTTCCGTTGATAGTACAGTGGTTCGGTATTGTTGACCTGATCTGATGGTAAGACCAGAAGGTGGATAGGTGGAACTCTTCAACGACTAATAGTAGATACATTGAGTTTGGGCCTATTTTGTTTGGTTTGACAAGCCTAACACTTTAGAATTCTTACTTTGCTACTACTGTCTACACTAAAAAGGGAAAAATAAAAACTTTTTAACAAAAAAATTAAAACCGACTTCAAACAAAAGCACTAAAAAGTAAAAAATAACTAATTGGTAGTTTTCATTTACTATACATACCTAATCAAATATTTTCGAAGTCGGTGTGCTTTAGTAACATGTTAGTTTTTTACTCAAATAAGTCATTTATATTAGGTATAGAGTATATTATAAGATTATAATATTACAATATATTATAAGATTATACCTAATATATTGTTCTTGAATGTAAAAAATAAAAAGCTATTATTTGTCGTATAATAATCTCGACCGATACGTAACGTAATATAATAAAAATAAATAAAATACTTATCGAAAATACGATATTCCATCCATTTTTAAGGTTCTAAATGTAATTTTTTTTATTTCTGTAACGAACATTTTGACTTTTCGGACGTTCGCTCTGTAATTCTGTTGAGTTTTTTTATATCAATGTAAACCTATACAGTGTATACGTGTCGCGAAGATGGTTCTTGAACTTGACTTGTCGTGGTACAGCTGATGTCCTTAATAAAATGAAAATTTCTGGTAGCAGCTAGAACCTAAATCAAATTTATAAGAAGGAGACAAAGTGCTAAACATTAGGTATTAGAAATAGTACACTAACCCGATTTCATCAACGTCACCTAAGTTTAAGGGATCCCCTAAGCATGGTTAGGGGGCTGTTAGGGGACAGTTTCTGTTTCACTGACAGTTAGGGGTCACCTAAATATTAAAAGGCCCCCTAAATTTAGGTGCTCGAAATATGGGCTTAAAGACGATCGTAAAACGAAATTTAATTTAGGGGCTAGTTTTGGGGACTTTTAAGCTAGGGATCCCATACGTAGGTGGT